AGTCGATCGAGCACGATTTTCATTCTCGAGTCAGTGGTTCACGAGTCGTTTGACAAGCTTCAACCTCGTCCCGAGTGAAAATAACCCGGTTCTCCTTTCTATTACACCGATGAATTCATTCGATGAATTCATATCGTGAATCTGTCAATTGTTAATTAGAAAAGATCATTACAATTCAAATTTGCAATATATGCAAAATATTCTGTATCTCGAAATTTCCTAAATGTTCGGTACAATTCGAAATTTCCCAAATATTTGCTGTTATATAATTCGAAATTCCAACACGTGTAAATTCCAAAATCCAAACGCTTAGAATATTCGAAATTCTAACATTAAAAAATTTCCTAAACATTCGGCGCGATTCGAATACTCGAAATTTCATAAATATTTCCCGCTCCTCGGAATATTGAAATATTCGAAATTTTCAAAACACCCTTAGCTCTAATCATGGTGGATCCGTGTTACGAAGTCCGAAAGATCAATAGCGTTTGGGCGCCAACTGGTCATCGTTTTCGCCTTTTTGCCGCTTTATTATCATTAGGGCGTTAGCGAGCGTGACTACAAATTGCACGGGCGAGCTCGTTAATCAGCCCGACGTGGGAATAATTAATACGAATGGCTGGCTTTAAGCGGTCGACGGTGTGGTTTTCTAAAACGAGGACAGAGAATGAGGTTACGATCGCGTTTTTTCTTCTCCATTTTTCTTTTCTTTTTTTTTCTTTTTTTTTTTTTATTAATTTTCATTTTTACATCGGTTTATCGTGAATCAGCAATGAACTCGATTGTTTATGCCGGGTTCTCCGGTTACGTGGTTTCCGGTGCGAATTAACGAACGGTGAATTTCGTACCCGATACGCGATTCGCCCGCTGATTTTTCGACACGAGGATCCAATTAAAATGCATCGCGAAATGTTACGTGGAATTCGAGCGTGGTTGGGAAAATGTAGAATTTTCCTGGAATTTAGCCTCGTTTCAGTTGTTCATCCTCGAGTGGTGTAATAAAAAGTTCTATTCGTTTTCATATTAATGTGTAACGTTTCAAAGTTCCGAATTTCGCGTTAGTTTCTCTTCGATCATCGACATGTCATAAAGCAATAAAAACTTGATATAAGTTCGTATACGTACGTATACATTCGCTACGTGAAATTGGTGCATCGGAAGATCGTGAATTATGCAAAACCAGCGATTCGACGAAGTTACGTTGCAGTGGTGCAATTTGTATTGTCTAAAGGAAAACAATCGTATCAAGCAATCCCTTGTTATATCTCTAATTCGAGTTCCGTATAGTCTCGCCGGATTAAACTTCGTTCGCCCCGAGAATGAGCAAAGACGCTTTAATTAATTTGTTTTCGGCGAAGAAATTTCACAATTTGAAATTCGGATAATACGAGTGCGTAATATATTCTTATGTTAGTGTCATACATCATATCTACGATATTACAACCAATGGGCTACCGATTACGATATCTTCCATGGAATTTTTCTAGCAAGAGATGAAAGGGGGTGTTCGATATAATCCAGATGCACATTATCGTCTTCTGACATCGGTCCACGGCGCACTTAATCAGCTCGAGCACGATAGGGACGTGAAGAGGCACTTTGACCGCGTTGTTAGCTACGCTAAGAGAAATTCCCGGGACGGTCCTCGCAATTAGCTTAAGCAACTTGTAAGCACAATGAGCGTCGTCAGAATTCCTTGCTGTTTCAATATCGCTTGAATAATCATTCAGCTTTTCCCATGGTCTCTTTAAAAATAATCCTAGTCGTCAGATTGAGGAAAACTCAAAGAAGTAGCTCGGAGAAGAAAACCTTTGCACTTGTCCGGGAAAATATTTGCACGAACTTCGAACGTTTTGTTCGTCCTCGTTCGTCTTCTCTTTGTTCTTCGTTTCGCTTTGTCCATCGCACGCTGGAACTTCGCAGAAGCGTTAATTCACTTAAATAATTAAACCTAAACGCCTGTTTCGTTCGTCGCAACGAAGATGATCAGTCGCTTAATGCAAGTGGATAATTTAAAAGGACTAGAAAGCGGAAAATGTAGGAATGTGCTGAGAGAATTGCAGAATTGCTCTACTAATTATGGTTTATCACGTTCGCTTTGGACAAATTCTACCTCTAGTTAATTTCTTAATTAAAAATTATCAAAGGTAGACATCGACGTACGTATTAATTTTGTTTTTACTTTTCTTTAAAACGTTTTTGACAAGAAAAAAGTAGACAGTTCGTTGGTATCTGTTTTCAGTGAGATGCATTTGTAGCTCGACGATAAATACTGTTTATCGGCCGCGAGAATGCTGATTTTAATATTAGCGGCATCGAGAAGATTTACGCGCGCGATGATGCGGCAAACTTCCGTAATACGTTACCGGAATAGCAGTCATCGCGAAACTTACGACCGATATATTACAAGAACAGCGATGCAACGTTTAAAGCATCGCGAATGCTTTCGAACTTCTCTATATTTTCTCACGTTTTCGACGAGAATCTATCAATACTACGTTGTTCCATTATTCTTTGACAACTTCGGTTACTTCCGGTTGGTGGTTTTGGTGCTTTCAAACTTTCAGAAACTTTTTCTTTAGGTCGTACGAATAAGAACCATTCAGGCATGAAATTTTCCTTTGTAGAGGCAGAATAGGTCGAAAGAATTTCATAATTTAAAAAATTTTAGTGTTCATACATAATTGCAAGTGGAATAAGTCAGTATATGGTCAGACATAGCGTAAGCATTGTATTTCAGTGCATTTCTAAATTCATACATAAACGATCAGAAAAATATTCTAGATTTATAAAAGAATTCTTGAGTATTTATGAATCTATGAATGAATTTTTGCATTCGTATGCAGTTGTAAGTAGAATAGGTCTAAATGTGGTCAGACATTTCCTAAATATTGTAATTAGTTTATTTTTACATTTGTATATAAATAATCAGAAAAATATTCGAAATTTTTAGTAGAACTAAGTATTTTCATAAATCTACGAATAATCCTAAGAATTTCAATATTTATTGAAAGCTGCAAGTAGAATAGGTCCATGCATGGTCAGACATGTAATAAATACTGTATTTTAATGCATTCTAATTTCTTAAACAATTTCAAAAATAGTTCACATTTATAAGAGAAAAAGTGACTACTTATGAATTCAGCAATAATTTCAAGAATCTTCGTGTATGCGAGCAGTAGTAAGTAGCGGAGGGCTGTATATGGTCAGACATATCGAGCGCAGCCTAGCCGAGGGAAACAAAGTTGCCACTTGTTGCTGAATTACAGCAGAGCATTCGAAGAGCAATGGAAAACGATATGGTCAGCAAAATGCTTGAGCCCATCGATCGATTTCAAAATGCAATTGTCCCGATTCATTCGATCCCAATGAAGGATTCGAAATCCTTGAGTAATTCTACTTGCGTTACCGCTCTTTGAACATCTCTTCGGTTCGCAGTTTCCACGTTATTTTGGCAAGACTTGTCAACACACAGTGTCGATTATATTACAATACAGGTGTTCGAATTCTCAGGAAACCGTCTGCTAAATTCGATTGATTCAACAAAGATTGATTTGAAAGATAAATAAAATTTGTTTGACGGATCGAACAAGTTGATGAATATTTCAAATTGAATGTAACGATTCAAAGAAAATTTCTTTTTTACACAAACAATGGTACTATGTATATGTAAAATTTTTTAAATTTTAATTTCAACAAATTTTAACAAACTTACCTATTGGAAAATTGAAAAACTTTCCATGGTAAAATAAAAAAATCTGCAACTTTAGAAAACTGATTTCTTTCTCGGTGAAACGGAAGGAGCAGTCTATGTAAACGTCGGAAGCAACTCCGTTACATCTCGTTGGAAGTTTGCGCGAGTAACGTTCGTGGAAGAAACTTTGCTAACGTGGTTGTTCGGCTCGTCTGATTCCCCTCTTCGGTCGGCGTCGACGAGCGGGAAGCTCGTAATTTCACTTGGAAACGTTTGCAAACAAGTTTGCCCGGGTCTCGAGGGCCCAGACGTGTTCGTGCGACTACGTTTGACGCAACTCGTGCATTAATCGTGCTCGATTAATTGTACTAATTTCACAGCTCGACCTTGCCTCTCCTTGGTGAACCTCCTTACAGTCACGATCACCATTTCCAGTTGTACCTTCTCCGGCCAATTATTCCGGTTTAGATGGTGAACGAGAAAGTTTTCCAAGACGAATGTTGCCCGAGCCTGGCTTTTATTAGTGTTTCTCAGTTGTTAGGAATCTTGATCTCTCATGATTGCTAGAAATTCTGGCTGTTTTTGGAATTAATGCACCAGACGAATGGGGTCGTTGGAGTTCGTTGATGAGCATTTGAACTTGATGAAGAGAGAATCGTTGAAGTGAAAATTAAATGAAGTAGTTGTAGAAGCCTTTGGAAATAATTATTAATTGGAGAATTTTCAAAAATTAATTGTTTGTATTTCTCTGCGATTATCATGGAATTTTGAATTTTAATTATTTCTGAAAAATTCTGTCTGCTTTGGGGAAATTAATGCGCTGAGTAAAGTTGGATTGGATGATAGTGAATTCGATAAGGTTTCGAACTAAATGGAAAGGGAATCATTCGAGCGAGAATTGAATTAAGTGGTGGAAGATAGTTTTGGAAGTGGTTACTAATGGGAGAATTATTAAAATTGATTGGTAGTGGATGGATAAACATGGTTGAAAATAGAGTAGAAAGGATCCTTAGGTTAATACTGGAATGCTTTTAGCTTTTATTGCAAGGAAAGCTTCTAAAGTTGACTGAGAACGAAGAAGTCGTACAACTACTCTTCTACAGTGAAAAGCTTTCGCAGCTGGCAAATAAAGGAATCGAATGAAAGAAGAAATCTTTTAATTCGTTAATGATTCAGATCGTAATACTTATCTGAAGTCATGATGAAACATTAATATTATCTTGAGCGAGTTAATAATTTAAAAATTATTATATCTGTTTATTTCATTCGATATTTTAATTTCTATTTCTATTTTTTGCTGTTTCAGTGTGCGGCGATATTCACGGCCAGTTCTATGACCTGATGAAGTTATTCGAGGTGGGTGGTCCACCCTCCTCCACAAAGTATCTCTTTCTCGGCGATTATGTGGACAGGGGTTATTTCAGTATCGAGGTAAGTTCGAAATTACATTATTATCGCGTTGCTGGCTCACCTAACTTCCCGACGAACGCTTTCGCAGATTATTTTCGACTAAACCAACGAAAGGACCCGTCTGTGTATTCGTTTTGAAACATTCGATGCAACAATTAATTGTTCCAACTCACATGTTAGATAGTGTAGTAATTACAACAAACTACTGTAGCAGTTTAGTGGAGGGGGGGGAGAGGGTTTCGTCTCCCCGGACGACTTTGGTTCGGGCCGGGGACCGCTAGGTGGCGGCAAGGATGACAGTGTTCTCGCTAGCGGTCGTCCGGCATGCAGTTCGAATATACATATGGGAGTTTCGAATTGCGATATGATAGGTGTTTGGGGCAGGGATCGTCTGTTGTCAGCCCCACTGATGAGTCTGACAGTCGATTCCGAGACGAAACTCCTTTTTCTCTCCTCTCCTACACTACTAAATTTATAATAAAACAATTTTCAGTTATTATTAGATGTGTAGTAAGGGTTATTGATAATAGAGGCAGATTTTATAACCCTCTAATTTTTAAAGTATCGACAGACTGAAAGCGGTAATAATTTATTGTCAGTTCAAAAAAAATGAAGAAAATTGGTCGTATTGCAATCAGATTTTTTCTAAATCGAGAATAAGCTTCCTTTCTCTTCTTATCTCGCAGAAACAAAAGTAATTCCTATAATAGATGATATTATCACGCGATTCGAGTTGATACGTAGCGAAACACGTCAAAAGGAATTGCGGCACCACGTATCAAGGTGGAAATCCTTGGAAAAACAGAGTTTACCGCGCGTTTCGAGAAGACGTGGCCCCAACAGCGTGAGCTTCTGCGTGACTGTGCTTGCACACGCGATGAAGAAGGACGTAAAGCTTCGTCGAGATCGATACTTCGTATCCGCAATACGCTTCGTTAGATTTTCCACGCTGTCAGAAGAGAGAAAGAAAAAGCAATACCACGTTGCTAGAAGCGTGCAGTCATTCAGCGAATATTTTCTTTCCACGGATGAAACAAACGGGATGAGAGTCGGGGAAAATGAGGGGAGAGGTAAAGAAGGAAAATGGGAGAAAAAAAATATTTGATAAGAAGAATAGAAAGAGAGCGGAGAGAATGTAAATGGGTTAAGAGGAATGTAGAAAGATGAAAAGAACTGGTCATGGAATTGATTATTCAATTTAGAGAAGAGAAAGAAGGGAATCGATACGATAAGAGATAAAGGAATGGGATCTTATTCGATGTAAGAGGACATTACTGAAGGAAATCGGAAAGATATAACAAAAACGTTCGACGGTTACTTAATTTGATCGAAAAGGAAATAATTTAATACTAGAAGCTATATTTTCTGATAATATACAGTAGAAAATATTAAGTGCGCTTAGGTAGTGTCTTTTTAATCATAGTTGTTATGTATCGTGCGTCGTCGACCTTCCGGACGAATTCTTGGTATCTATAGGAGAGCATGGTACGTACCAGGAGGACTTTGAAGACCTGGGGGAAAAGTTTTCAAGTCCCAATTTTATCTATTTAATGGTACCGAAGGTTAAAAATCTAAATACCTCTTGAGATAGAGAGATTGGAGTCTAAGTACTGTGTGTCGCCGACCTTCCGGACGGATTGTTGGTATTTATAGGGAAGTTATAGTGCGTCGAAGGGGAAAGTACTGAATCGTTAAATCACCTTCGAGCAGGTGACTCCATCAAGAGGATAGGGACTGAAAGTGTTTAATCCATGAGAACACGTTCAGGCATCACGTTCGGAACGCGATCGACTGTCGCGGGAATACACAGCACCGTCACGTAGTGCATACACCGAGAAATCGGTGTGGTAAACTAGCTAGGAACACAGTGTTTCGTAACACAGTTGGTGCACCGATGCGAGTCGTGTTGCAGAATCCGTAAACTAAAGGCTTTCGGTGTCGTAGAGCCTGCTGAATCAGCTCTTACAGGTGCTAATGCATCTGTAAGTGGAACACCAGTGTCAACAATGAAAAGTAACGCTGGTAATTTGAAACAGCAAACAGTGAAATTAGGTTAAAATTAACATTTAGTTAACGAACCAAAAGACTTCTTTTTCTTCACTTGTTTTTAAGAATATTTTTCAATTTCTGAATTTTCTCTCATGATCTGCGACCAAATAATTAACGACAGCAGATACGATCAACAATTTCATGGTGTGCTACCTCAAAACAATGGATACGAGAATGATTTCGTGCGATAGTTCCCGTATAATTATAGAGGGATGGAAAGCAGAAGGGTGTAATATCGGTTCAGTGGCTACACAAAGGGACGCTGAAGGGGTGCGGAACGTAGACAGTCGGATGGATTAGCAAAGAGAAATTAATCGACTTCAAGGCTGCACGAGAACCAAATAATTTTCGGTATCGAACAATATGTTTACTTTGTGTTCGAGGAAATTGAATAACTTCGAACATAAAATAATAAAGTTTGAAACAAAAAACTAATTTCTCATTTAGAACTCACTATGGGTGTTCCCTTTGAATAAAATTATAAAATGAAAAAATGATTTTTATGAAAATTCTGTAAGGTGGCTAAATAAAAATACCAGCAGGCTCTTACAATTCAGAAATCAGCCAGATGGAACATTTTCTGAATTACTTCTTCAATTACCAGCCAAGATTTCGAAAATCTGAAAACCATCTCGAGTCACAAGGCTTCTTAACAAATGGAACGAAGGAAGAAGAATGGGAAGAATCTGGCACGATGACTAACACCACCCACGATTATTATGTCCACTGGATGAGTGACACGCAACACTATCGTTTGCCAAGACAATAAATCAACCGTAAAGTTGAATAGTATTGTATCTAACACTTTCAAGAGTCTTTCGGTCTGTCTATCTTCTATCCTGAACGTGACTATTACCTTTGAACGAAAACAATGAACCGTTTTTCAGACAGTGAACCGATTTGGCGATGATTTCGGCGGAGATGTTGGTGACTATTATTTGTTAAGTGTCATCACTTAACAAGGATTTTGAAATATTTGTCGTCGTGCCATTCTGTTAACCTAACGATCAATTTATTTCATAAACAAATTTTACTCACCGCCAAATATAAAATTACACCTTCGATAAATTGTTATAATTGAAAAGGTTGATAAAGAGAATGTTGACGAAGAGTAGATGGATAAGCTGATGTTGCATCTTCACTTGCAACTTGTCAGAGTCATTAATAATCGCGTCGAGTGTCTATTCTTATTAGAACTAAATACGTTCAAGAGGCTACTCATTTCTTATCTTTCAAATCTCTCTTTATTTATGCCACTTGTGATCCACTCTATCGCGATCATCTTGTCAGCTAATTTACACATTTACCATCTAAGCTTCTTCTCGAGTGTCGAAGTCATTTTTCAATACCATATTTCAGAGCCTTAAATTTTTATAAATTCAATAAATCCTTTATGTCAGGTTAAACTCGAGTTTCAGCAAAAATTTCCGATTCGTATTTCCTTTTGTACGCGTAGGTATGTTGTAAAAGAATCAGAGAGAAAAGTATTTTTGGATGCAACTCCAATGAAATTCCCAATCCTGAGATTCAGTGTATGCAGTGTAAGCGTGTCGAAGTAATACGCTCGACGTTGTATGCACGTTAAATTCGTTCTTATTTCCATTGCGAGGATGTTGCATACACGCGCAGAAGGCTTGCCAACCAATTTCCTCGAGTTCGAGACCGGCTACGAATTCCTTTAAACGGGAAAACCGTTCCAGCATCCACCTGAGAACAACATCTGTCTGCTGAAACTTTCGATGAGTTAAATTGAGAGACGTCGAATGAGACGTACCTTCTTGCCTTCGCAGCAGTATAAAATAATATATCTTTGAAAGTTCGTTTTATTGGTGCAATGGTAACCGAATAAGATGGGAAAATATTTTCTTTTATTTTTTGAAAAATATTTTATTTCAGATCTTAAATACTGAAATATTTGAATTTTTTAAATTTTAAAAAGGGAATTAATAAAATTTTTTTTTCAAAAGAAAACGCAGCTTGCAAGCTTCGCAGTTTAATAAGATTAACGAATTAAAGCGGAGCTCGGTTTTTACGTTCTCTTTCTGCGCTTGCAGTGTGTTTATAGCCGTGACATCATATTTAGAGTGGTGATATAGCTGGTCTAGCGAAATATATAACATGTCCCGGGTAATAAAACGAAAATGGTTTCATAAACGCGTCGGCGGACCGGCGCGGCGTGACGAGCGGCAACAACGACGTAGCATAATAGGAACGTGGGTAACGCGTACGCGAATACACGTATAATCCCTGTACGAGGGACAAAAGCGAGCGTACCATTGATCATTTCCCGAATTTCTATTAATCAGCAACGGTAATGGTCGACGAGTAATCCCGGTTAACTCTACTTACTACCTAAATGAACAAAAGCATCGGTGTACTAGACAATTCGGGACGTTATTGTTGTTGGTAATCACCGAGATAATGAATCGTTGATTTCTCGTGGGAGGCATGAATTATTAAACTGCTAATTAAAATCCTTTGATATTTGATGATTTTGAATAGGCATCTTGGAAACCTCAAAATCGTTGCTAATTTTAAGAATGATTTTTTCAAAAAATATCAAACATACAGATATTAATCTGCAAAATATTTAATAAATAAAAATTTTAAGAATTGGAAAGTCAAAAAAAGTTACACTTGCAAACTATAAAAATTACATTTTTATATTCAAAGTGGAAAAAGTTTAAATTGTTAATATCCACGTTAAATTTGCTAAGAAAATATCTGAGGAATAATGTGATCTTCCGCAGGGTAAGATAGATCGCTTTTATAAAAGTTATACTTAAATAGAATTATAAAGTATAATGGTAAGAATATGAAGAATATAGAATACAGTATGAAATGTAATAAATTAGCAAAAGGAATATAAATAAATAGATTCAGATTATTGAACCTTCGGAAATGGAAAAATTATAGGGGTTGATAGCGTAGGATCTTAACACTCTAAGGAAGGTGAGAATCAACTCCAAGTTCACTGTATAGAGAATTTAGTTCAAGGACATCTAGAATGACATACTTAAGCTTTCACACTACAAAGTTAATCTTCTACTTCGGTGTCATAGCGTAGGACTTGGTTCTACCTTAAAACGGACCAAGAAGAGATTCCATATCCAGTACTGACAATGATGATACTCGACGTACTCAGTTTAAAGAAGTTGGAAAAATCAAATTTATCTAATATCTCGAATTAAAAATAGCAAAGATAATGAAGATATATTTTTATAAACATTCGTAGCGAAATGAATAGATGTACATATCTCTGCTGATCAACTCCATCTGCGCTGTTGTGTAAATCGTTGTCTAATATGACGCGTTGTATGATGAAATGAAAATACGTCTGGTAGACAAGCTCGCGACAGAAAGCAATAAACCGACAGCTTACGGCTCGACCGTGTTCACAGCTTCATACGATTCATACGATTGTCCCTCAACCAGGATATGCTCGCTTACAATGTGCATTTATACCTGTGGATGCCCGCATTCGAAACAAACGTGTATACGCGATGAATAAATGATGCGCTACTCTACCTCTATCTCTTTCTCTCTCTCTCTTTCTCCATATTCGATATTGATTTTCCTTGCATGGCCAAGTTTTGACGATTATTTACACACCGTACGTATGCATCGTTAGTGTACACACTTCGCTTGTAAATAAATTATTATACCATTGTACCGTTAACAAATTAAATCGCACAGCAAGATTGGGTCATTACATATTACACCATGGCATATTGAAACTTTGGAATATTTAACCCTCGGACGGCGGACCATGAAGAGAGCCTCAATTTTAATTCAATTCCGTATTTCATATTATTATAATTTTTTAAATTTTCTACCGTTCCCTTAAAAATTATTCTCTCAATACGTGAAACTGTTTCATTAAAAAATTATATATTTAATTTTAGACCAATATTGTTGTATACGTTTCGTAATTTAAAGGGTTAAGCAGTAATTTTATGTATATTATTTTAGTACAAATATTTTTACTTAAAATATTATAAAATTACAAATTCTCATCTAGGTACACTGTACATTTAGAATTACATTTGCAATAATAAATAAATCATATTCACGGCTTAAAAGGATAATAAAACTATCAAAATACACAACAGCGTTTAGAATATAAAGTCACTCGGATAATTCTTTGCCAAGATAGTCACCTTTATGCTGCTTGTTGGACGAACCTCGGGAACAAGTAGTACACATACAGCACGAATCAGCCGTGCATTTCGAGAACCGTGAAGATTAATTATGTGCCGACCAATTACGTTGAAATGTAAACGACGGTCTCTCGCGTAGGCGCTTTTGTTTCGCGATGCATGCCAGTCCCCGGTAATTTTGTCGTCTCGTGTCGGACCGGGCACGACAATTAATTAGCTGATGCACGAAATAAAGCGAATAATACCTCTTTTCATCCACGGTGAATGCCTTTGCGATTTCGAGCCTGAGGATGCCACCTCGGAACATACCTAACGGACGATTTTACACGATGCTTTATTTAACCCGTCACGATTCTCCAGTTTATTATCGAGATTCTCTCGGAAAGTAAATCGATCGAATCTATAAAATAAAATTTTTTAAAATTGAAAAAATCTGTAGATATTGTTCGTTGCTATGGAGACCCTCTAATCTAGAGGGTGGTTTTTATAATTGGAACTTTAATTAAAATTTGAAAATTGTGGTAATTAAAATTGAAACAGAAACGAAAATTAAATTTAAATTATTTCTTTTTCATTATTTACGATGCAAGAGTGAAATTTATTAAAAAATAAATAATTTTACATAAAGTTTCGTAGGGCACACGTTACGCGTAAAAAGTTCCTTCGTAGAAACGCGGGTAGTTAAATTCGCAATTTTCCCTCGGCTAGCATTAAACGTTAAGATGAACACGGCTCGTTTGGATTTTTGCGAGGAATCATCTGCCAAAATACGGGGAACGAAACGCGATCACGAGTGGTAGTCGTTGTCACATTTAGACCGCATTACGAGTCACGAGCGCGGTTGTTTCGACGCGGCGAATTTAATTCATGGCACGTTATAAATTAGAAGGGGACGGAGGAGTGCACGGTAGAGAAAGAGATAAAAGAGACAGAAAGACGAGCGAGCGGATAAATAACAGGAATGTTAGCAGCTCCGCGAAACAGTAACTTGGATTTTCACTTCTACATTATGGAATCGTGTTTCTCCTCGCGTCTATAAAAAGAATATTTCCCGGAAAAGTGTAACAACCGTTGCCGTTATTCTTGCGTTTGCATAAATCTGATAACTGTATCGTAAAATATTTCCGCTTCGTGGAAGATACATTTCACGCGAAAATTCTATTATTCGAAACTCTCGAGTATAATTTAAAAAAAAAAAAAAAAAAAAGAAATGGTTAAAATTGGGATAATTAATTGTTTCACGAAATATACAATCATCGGAATATTAATATCAGTATTATTAAAGCTGTGTGATTTTTTAATTTAATTTTAACTTGAATTATTTTATATTTGTTTTATATTTGTTACAGTGCGTGTTGTACCTGTGGGCACTTAAATTGTGCCATCCAAACACACTGTTCCTCCTCAGAGGGAACCACGAGTGCCGTCATCTCACGGAATATTTCACATTTAAGCAAGAATGTAAGTATAATATTTTCCAAAAATTTTCCATTCCACAAATCCCAATTCACAATTCATTTTATCTGATCATAATATATTTACATAGAATTAAGGACATCATTTCAATTGATTTTTAAATGAAATTTCTCCATTAAATTAAGAATATCTTTCAAGATTCATCTGTAAATCCTTTGCGTCCATTATTAATTTCCAATTACAATATTGCATCTCGATTCAAGGCTTTCATGCATTTTCAGTTATAAAATGAATAAAATTTTAAATAATTTTATTTATTATTTCAGAAATTTTTTTTATATTTCATTATTGAGTAAAATATCGATAATTAAGAATCTTAATTATTTTCCATTTTTATAGTTATTAATCTATTAACTAAGTAAGACGAATTGACTCGTCGATTAGATGAAAAACATGATTTTTTATCAATCGAGGGATTAAGTAATTAACAGATGAAAAGCGAGCCATTAAAGGTTGGAATTTCGTGCCACCCCGTTAAACGTTATCGATTTTGTATCCGGAAACGAGCGTGGCAACCGGATGTTTTATGAGCTCGTTGTTCGTCAAAAGCACACGCGGGAAAGCCGATCTATTGCCCGTTCGATGATCATTCCACGGAAAAGTCGTTTATCTGGCCTCGAATACCGGCACAGATGACATTTACGAGATTTTCTCGTCGAATCGCGATACATAGCAATTTTTATCGGTTGCATTCATGCAAATATTCCATAAAAAATGTTTCATTAACACGTTCGCAAATCATTTTTCAATTTTTCTAACTAATTTATCATTACTAATAAGATAGCAGAGTGTTAATAATATTTTACTGCTACCATTTCCATCGAAAATAGTATATTTATAAATTTTTCTTTTTTTCACAAACATGAAATCACGCGTTGGAAATAATTCGCGATCCCGAAAATTTGCAGTCCCGAATATTGAATTTCCGCGATGGGAATCGACGCTATTCAAATGACGTTAAACGTTACGGTTTGTAGGGAGTTAACGCGATCGGCTGGTAAATACACATGACTTGACCCAGTATCAGAGAATTTTCCAGGATCGATACAGGCTTTCCCGCGAGTTGCACCACGCAGAGTCTTGAGATATCGTTGATTGGACGCGGACCCTCTGGGATCACGAAATTGGATGGAGCTTGTACCAGAACGATCGCATCGAACGTGTTCCTCGTCGACTAGTACCGTGAACGAATGCTTTCCGGGCGATAGATCGTTCCCCGGGATCGGGTCGTTGCTTTTCATTCGTTAGATTGAACCTCAAGATTTTCTTTTTTTCCCGTAGGTAAATACGGGATTTTCACGTGTAATAAGAATGATAGAAAAAATAAAGAAAAATGTTAATTTACCCGTTAGAAATACCCTTACAGTGTTGTACCGATAACCACGTGGTATAGAAAAGAGAAAAATCAATTATTTTTTTTTACAAATTTTTAATGACGTTCGTAGAGATTTGATTCCCAAGCGTCACAGAAGCCCTGAACAATCGGTGACACGATGGAGGGCGTAATAATTAAGACGTTCGTTCTGGAGCTTCGTTAATTGCACGGCGAGCATTACTCTTGCGCCTCCTTTTTTTTCGCCCGCGGTTGAGCCTTGTTGTATTAACGAGGTTCGAGTTCCGCCCCATTGACTTTCTTTCGGTATACAGTGGGTGATCAAATTATTAGAGCCACGGTATGAAAAATGGGTTTTTTGTGTTTCTGTAGACATAGAGCCACAATTTTAAGGTTTTTACATTGTGTAACTTTTAATCAATAATTCTCCACTATTAATATACAAACAAATACTTATACAAAATAAAGAGATACATTTAAAAGATTATATTTACACATGTATGTTAGTATTTCGTATCGCCACCTTTTGCTGCAATTACTACCTCAATTCTTTTCGGCGTACTTTCGATGCATTTTATTTCTAGCCCATACTTCTATCAAACGTTCAATCAATTCACATTTATTACTAATAATAAATATTTCTACAAATTTTCGATGGGGTTGAGGTCCGAAGAATTTCTAGGCCAGTTACTTTCACTTTTTTCAACTGTGTATCATAATTTTACAAGTATCAATACATCATAAAAAAGCAACAAACATAAGAAACCTTAAAATTTGTCAAGCAGTATAACAAAATTCAGAATCTAAAACTTTTTCCAAATTCCAAGATTACCAAGATGATCCAATGTGTATATGTGTTCTCCATTTCTATTGAAAATCCTCGATTCGTTCCATTCGAAGCTAAACAGAGAACTCTGAGTTCGTTCATCTTGGAAAGAGACCTTCTCTTTCAACAGGAAATGGCATTCGATCCTCGAATCAGTCGTACAATGTCTGTGCTGTTTTTCCGGAAAACAAGAAATTCGTGGATTTCTTTGGGTAGTGTTATCGAAATCCAAAAATCTTGGGATCTTTTTCACGTTGAGACCACCGTGTCGAGATCTTTTGATTTTTCCTGGACAGAATCGGAATCACCGGAAGAGGGAATGAAAACCAGTCGAAAAGAAGATTGCTACGGAAGATGGCAGACGTTGTAAAAATTGACTGGTGTATCGAGAATTTATGAAGGCACAAATACGAAAAATCGAGGGATTTGATTCTTGTCTTGTTTGATTTCACGAGGAAGATACGAAATCCGAGCGGAAAGAAGGAATTTTATGATGCGAAACCTTTTTCGAGGAAACATCAAACGTGAAATATGTCGATTCAATATTTTTTACGATGATTTGATGGCTAAGTTAGGAAACATATTTTGGAGGACATTTGATTAGTTAGAAAGAGATAAATCCTCAGGTAGTAATCTAATTTTAGAAAATAAAAAACAGAAAGAAAATGAAGACACTGATAATACTTTGTAAAAAGTAATTATTTCCAAAAATTATTTTTAAAACTAATGTAAAAATAATAAAAACATTCAAAAGCTTTCCAAATCTTAGGCTTCATTTTATAAGTCTTCTAATTTTCTAATATACCAATAGAAAGATTAGATAAATTATCAAATTATATTTGATTACATTAAGGTCTATCGAAAATCAATCATTTGATATTCAACAGTCTAATATTGAAACACCCCGTACAAACACAGAAAACACCCTCGATGTGTTTCAATAAGAATAGGCCTGGAAAAAAATTGCGGTTCCTTATCAGGAAAAAGGAGCGTCGGGAAGGTAGACAGGATGACAAAGCGTTGTTGTGCACATGGTACGATGAAACGTCGGCGCAGCACTGGCCAAGAAGAATTTCCTGTCAATAAAACCAGCTACGTGGTATCTGTTGAACGGACAACCCTGAAGATTTGTTGGCGTTAAAAGTGGACAGATTGCTGGCCGATGCTGTCACTCCGATCACCCTTCGTCGGGATCTCGTGAACAAACGTCTCGACCTTGGAAGTTGGCTCGATTGAGTCTTAGATACACGAGTCAGTCGGTCATTGTGTTTGTCGAGGACCCGGGGAAATTGGAACGACGAAAGAATTGCGAATCCAACAGGGAAGCTCGTTGAGAAGTTGAACAACTTCAGGATTTTAGTTGAATTCTTCTGGTTGTTTTTGCAGAGGGTGAAGATATTATGAAGATGAGTGTGAAGAGAGAGATAGATCTTGAAGATTTGTCAATTGTAATTTGATTAAATTGGAAGGAAGGAAAATTAACTATGGATTTGTGAAAAATTTGTGAAACCTCCAGATTTCTTATATTTTCTAATTTTTCAAATTTTATTTATTTCCATTGCTTATTGAATTATATTTGTATTTAATTTTCACCCAAGCAATAATTTGGAAAAGAATAGTTATACCTCGGTATACGACCTTAATTCGTTTCTGATGTTTGGACTTATATCGAATAGGACGTATACCAAACCCATCAACTCCGAATATAATTGATTATTAATTTAATTTTTCCTCTGAGATAGTTATTTAAAAATGAAGCAAAATTCACAGAAAAAATTTATGTCGTATACCGAACAGAAGTCGTGTACCGAGCAAAATTTGTCACGTCCAAATAGGACGTATTTCGAATTGGACGTATTCCAAAGCAGACATATACCGAGGTACTACTGTAATTAATTTTTTGGCTCGTGCATGTCGAACTCCATAGAATCAAATGGAAAGGAAAGAAAATATCTGATCCACTTGAACCGAACAAGGAAATATGAAATACTAAGGTAAGGAATGAAAAGAAACAATTAATACGATCTACATCAAAGAGGTCCAATATCCTATCGAATCGACCAATCAAACGTAAACTACAAAAGCAAAACACAATAGAAATAAAAGGAATTAATACGATCGGTGAAACCAAAGAACGTAGAGGCAGGATCGAACAAAGGAGAGTGCCAAGCATCGAGCGTTTCCTGCTTCCTTTATTTTTCATTCGATCCGCTAGGAATTCCTCGATAGAGGGATTTATTATTCTCCACGGGTAAGATGGCCACCATACACGAAATGATCCCCGGATTCGTCGTTCTTTTTACGAGTTTCTCCTGCACACCAACAGACCCCTCGTTCATCCTCGAACAGCCTTTCTTCATTGCTCCCCAGAGCCCTTTTTCCCCTTTTATCTGCTTCGCGTTCTTTACTTCAGCTTTCGCTAAAACAGAAGCTTCGTTCACCACTCTTTTCGCACAATTTGAGCGAAGCGAGACTGCGGAAAATCGTTAATTGTTTAAAAATTTTCAAATGTTAGGCATAGAAATGACGAAATATCAAGCGTTCGCCGTCAAAGGGTTAATTATCGGATCGTGGGTAAATTCTATGGCGGTGAAATATTAATAGAGATTTTTTTCTTTTTGTGCTTTCAGGTAAAATAAAATACTCGGAGAGGGTGTACGACGCATGTATGGACGCGTTCGACTGTCTGCCGCTCGCGGCCCTCATGAACCAACAGTTCCTCTGCGTGCACGGTGGATTGTCGCCGGAAATTCACAATCTAGAAGACATACGCAAAGTAAGTAGAAGGAACGTTTATTCAGTTCTCGGCCGATTTCACTGTGATTAATCTGTTCTGGACCGGTGAAAGCTATCTGAAAACGGTCATTTTTCTTCGTCGGTCCCTGTTCTTTTTATTAATAATTGATTTTACGTATTCGAATTCTCGTATACTCGAGTGGCGAGTTTTTTTGGGAAATTTTGGTAAATGAGAAAATTGTTCGTCGACCGAATGGCACGAGTGTTATTGGAACCTGGTCTGTGGAGTACCGGAAACATAGCAGGGAACCGATGTGCTGCCACCTGCTCTATCGATCGTTCACCTAAACGGTGACTACCTTGACACAGCGTACACGCACTAGAAGTACATACGCCTCTTTTGTATAATTTACGTAATATTTCATTTTCTCTGAAATAATCGACCATTGAAGAGCTAAAATTTTGTATAAATTAAATTACAGGGTGATAGAAATTGATTTATTATGAATTATCGTTTTTAATACTTCACAAGTGGTTTCTAAAGGATCAATGATACTGCAGAATTGACAAAATAGCACTTGGTTAATGCGATCAACGTAAATATTCGTTTCTGTCGGTTTGGTAAAATATCGCGCGTTCGAGGTATTAATTAATCCTCGGTGATACACATTCGATCGCATCGTCAATCCAGTTGAATTCATTCAATCGTTTCAAATCTTCGAATTAACCGGTTGCCTTACGATTTTCTGAACGGCTGCGTCCGTTTCTCTATCAATTTGCCTACTCGTTTCACCGTGGGGATATTCGCGACAGATGGAACACATGCAATTTTCAGCCATTGGTAAATCCTCGACTCGGTAACTTTTCTTTTTTTCATTTTGCAAAATTTTACGAGAATTTTTAAATCACAGAATTTTAGAATTTCAGAATCTCAGAAGCTTAGAATTTTAGAATCTTAGAATTTTGAAATTTTGGGAAGCTGTGACCATGGCAAAATTTTACGAAAGAATTTTAAAATTGCAGAATTTTAGAATTTCAGAATCTCAGAAGCTTGGAATTCTCGAATTTTTAGAACTTTAGAATCTTAGAATTTTGAAATTTTGGGGAGCTATGATCATTCCAAAGCATAAATGCAAATAATTCCTGAAGGGGGATTCAGATCGGTGATGAACGTCGTGGCGTTGCGTCGCGTCGTGACGCATCGAGCCCTCGAGCCACGAAACACCTGGTGCATTTTATCAGCTAAAACGGTGCAGTTTGTGCTTTAAATAGCGTCAGGACCGCGCTATCGCCTACTGCTATTAACTTAATCGCCATGCAGCCTGGCATGCACCTATGCGTGCCGCATAACACGCTCTTAGGAAATTCGCCATAATAACCTGCACGTAGAACGATAGAACGATGGATGCGAAGAGGTGGAGGATCTTGAAAACGCTCCACTTGGAACGGAAAGTTCCAACTTCTTCGGTCACGTATACCCTGGGAAGAGGAAAATAAAAAGGGCACGTCCGTCGTACTCGGTGCAGTTGCCACACGATCGCACATTTTATAAGCGTCGTTAAAACTTATCCCACCGATGCGATGGTGAAACTTTTTTTCTTTTCTACATTTTCTCCGTTCAACTCGCGGGACTCGTTGAACTTGAATTCGTCCGGGAAATTCATTATCGCGTACGGCCTTTCGTGACTGAAACTCCTGTGAATGTTAGACGCGTGGTAAATCGCGAGGCCACCATTTTCTATATAGACTCTTGCTGAAATACAATAGTACATCTACTATTATAAAAAGGCGACTGAATTGCAAAACTTGAAACTGAAAAATTGAAGGATTGAATGTAAAAATTAAGCATTTTTGCAATCTAAAATTATTCTCAATTTTATCCTTAAATAAATTTTTGATTCGCTGATGAAATTTCTATTAGATGACAGAATCTATCTAAGTTAAAGGCGAATGTTGAACAACTAGTAGCGAGATACGATAATTAGAAACATCGGAAACTGAGAAGGCGGTTGACATTGCTTCCGTGATAAGGTTTGTACGTTCTTGGCTGTAGCTTCCATTTAATAGGCAGCTGCTTGTTACACCGTAAACGACTTGGTGTGCTGGATGTTAACACACGATCACACAGAGACGAATGGTTGCGTTAGTTACACGTAAAGGATCGCAGTAGGCAGCAGTGTGCTATTCAACATAATTAACATGCTGTTACAGCTGCGCGTTGTGTATCATTTGTGTTTCTGTTCAACCCTCTCGTTTCTGGCGAATACGCGAATCCTATCGAATTCCTTGGACAACGTTTGTGAACCTGACTCCAGGGACTGTAGTGTATCACTAAGAGAACACGAATACCTAGGACGACACGTTATCACATTGAAGTAAAAATTTGTCTAAAAATATATTAGAAACAAAGAGCATTAATCAATATGAAATTTTTTAAATATTTTTAAAAATATGATGTTTGCTCCAAAAATTATTAAATTACATAAAATACGTACGTAATACCGAAGTTACATTTTCTTATTTTAAAGAAATTATTACGAGATTCGCAATGTTTTTCAAAGATCGAAGTCATCGAAGTCTGCAAGTAACATTACGTATCCAGTAACGATGGAAAGTTTGTCTGAAAGCGTGTCTAGATTAAAATAAAAGCTACCTAACGCTGGAACAGTAACAAAAGGATTAAGGGAGGTGACTACTGGTCGGATTAAGAGCAGGAAGAATTTTTTCCTCCACCTGGGACCCTTTTGTTCGTCTAATAATGCGATTCTATGCACAAATGAAAGATCCTCGCCTTAGGACAACGGTAGGTGGTCCCAGCTCCAGGCTAATTTCCTTTCAGCCGACGGAAGTTCTCCCATTAAATAATACTCCGACTAAGTTGGCCGGGATATCTCCAGTTTCACTGTGAAAGGACTTTGTGTCTCTACAAATGGAATTATTATCGACGAGCCTCTGGCCACTCCTGTTTTTGAATATCCATCTCTGGAATTTCGCGTTGAAAAAACATAACATCGTAGATTGACCTAAAATAGTCCGGTTTGTTGGGAGAGTTGGTTAATTAAGGCCGGTTACTTTTCACGGGCCGCGAAGTTCCTCGTCAAGTTCGTCGAGTTGAAGGTACATGCGAGCTGCCGACTAGGCGAGATTAGTCGCGAGAGGAAAGAAGCACACCGGTTGAACTTGCCGTAACTGGTTGGCATCCGTAACTCACGAACCTTGAAACTTTCCAACTTTGACGACTCCGAGAAGTTGCTCCCTTCGTTAACCCCGAGACGTCACGATGGAAGGGTGCTTCTCGAAGGTTTACACGTTACTTATCATTGTTATTACGTTTTTGTTGCTAGTAGTATGTTTAAAAATTTCCAAGTATATTGAGAAATTATCATTCTATTCGTACAGGCTGGTTTCAGACTCGTGCATCCTTAGAAACATCACATAAAAGTATCGCCAAATAGCACTTATGGCACATCAATTTAAAGCTTAAAGTTTAATAAAAATTACTATATAAAGTTTACAGAATTTCTTTATCATTTTGAGGTACAAATAATTAATTGAAAATTAATTATTGTGAAGTGAAGTTAATCTGATTAACATTGATTAATATTGTCTCTTTGAAAATACCCAATTTTCAATTAATTATTTGTACCTCAAAATGATAAAGAAATTCTGTAAACTTTATACAGTAATTTTTATTAAACTTTAAGCTTTAAATTGACGTTTCATAAGTGCTACTTCATGATACTTTTATGTCATGAAATCACGTCAGACTAGCTATGTTTCAAAATCGACCTGATAAATGAGGAATTTGTTAAAAATGTCATAGAGTTCATAATGAATGTTTATTTTTTTAATGATGAAGATAAAAATTGAGTTCTAGTTGACCAACAGTCAAAGGTGAAGCGTGTAAACGCGGAAGACATGGGAGCGTGTAGTTCCCAGCTGGCATTTGGTATTCATATCGCTTGCTCGCGGTTGCAAAACCCGGCTTTTACATAGAAGCAGCCGGAATAATACATAACGGAGCAGTTGGGGTAGCGAATCTATAGGGGGTTGGCTGATAAATATTGCATACTCGCCGCTGTCCCTCGCTTCTCGCCTCCTTCGCCACACTCTCTGGAATTTCGAACATATTCTGCATAGACACCCTCACATTCGTCGACCTTCCCTTTCAACCAAGATAGAACCTTTCGATCCTCTGAAAGGAAAATAAATGATCGTTTCTACTACGCGTGTACGATAAATTCGAATCGATTTTTAAGACAAACGGAATCCTGTAAAAAAGTGAAAGGAATACTGCATTTTCATGAGAGAATCAGTGTAAGCGGTTTTGAAGGATCGAATATCATAGTCAAATTTGATCTTCGTACAATTTATTTATTTATTTTATACAAATACAAAAATTCCTTTCATACAAAATGTAATATTTTTTCAAAGTTCTAGAATAAAAATTTGTTAATAATCCTTTCTGTCCCATTGTCCAGGGAAACAAAGAAATTGAAAGAAGAAAGGATATCTGAACTTCCGTCAAGGAAAGTCGTGGAAATATTTGAGCAGCTTAACTTTTTTCAGAAAAAAGAAAGCTTCAGCAATGGATACGGAAATTGAACTTTTCTTTCTAAGACTATTAGAATACCGAGGAAAAATTGGAGGGGGAGAAGAACCGATAACGTCGATGCAAATTATCGCGAATACTCGACGAATATTTCCGATCAGTCGAACTTCACCCAGTTTCAGCCTTTTATTCTCAAACTGTTCGATGTTCCTTCTGCAGTTCTTCCCTTTTCTATCCGTCTGCTTTATTTATCGCGATTGATGCGGCTGAAAAAGAAACTCCGTGAATCTACCGGAAGGAGAGCGTTAACCAACCTTGTTTCTCCCATAAGAAATACCATGTAATCTCCCTGAACAGATGCACTCATTTTTTTTTTTTTGTCTTCGAGGTGCCACTCCAGCGCATAGATCATGCACCCATGCTTTACATTTCTACTCTGCTTTACTCTGTTTGTAACACAGCAGAGACTCGGTCATGTACTACGAGTTTGATCATAATGGCTAATTATGTTGAATGGCATTAGTTGCCGGCGCTCAGCGAATGCGCACGTGTGGCATCCGTAGCCACACACACGTACAAAGTGCGATGCTGTTTATAGTGTAACGAGCAGTTTGCACCTAATAAAGGCAGACGTAGTATCAGTGGAATTATTGGCCTTACTAAAGTAGCTGCATCGTTCTCGCCTCTAAATCCGCATTAGGTGTGCGACGATCAATGGAAGTGCCACTAAGGAGTTTGCCCCTTGTGAATTTTCATTTATTTAAAATGAATAACGTAACGTAGAAATTCAAATTATCAGTTGCTATTATTTTCCTAATATTGTGGTATCGTAGTTTAGAACTTAGGGTAGTTTACATTTCTAAAGGCAGGAAGAGGGCTATAAAAAAGAAAGGCGATGACGAAAACACTAGCGAGGGGTGCGGGTGTAAGAAAAACTGTGAATGCGAGTGCCTTTGCGGGATGAGACTAGAGTTGACTTTCGAAGTAGAACGTTTAGCTTGCGAGTTACCTTGTTGTCAATTTCGTATCTTCAACACTATCTTTCATTATTAAGTCTAATAAACAATATTCATTCATTTTACCACAATATTTTTCTTGAAGAAAAAAGAAAAAGAATAGATTGAAATTGACCAGGATCTCGAGATTCCTCGTAGCCACAAAATCGAGTTCTGCCTCGATCATCAACCAGGAAGGTTCAAACATTTAAAGTTTTTCCATCCCGTCATCCACTCGAGGCTGGAGGGTAAAAGTTCCTGTCGGAAGTTCTCTGATTTTACTTTGATTCCGTCGAAGCGGTTCGACACAGGAATAAATCTAGGCCAGAGTTCGTGAATGCTTTATGACGCGGAAACACCACTCGACCGACGAATCCTTCCTGCGTGTGTATACGTGTGTCTATGCGGCTTTCGAGTAAATAAGTGGCTCGTCCACCTAGTTTCTCGATCGAGAGAGCGTAAATTTCTTCTCTCTTTTTTCTCCTTTCCAAAAAGGTTCTTATCGAATCGAAAATTAAATAACTAAAAAATATTATTCCGTTTATTTTCAAATACCGACTTAAACTGGAATAGTTAATTAAGATTAACCGTAATTGAACCGAGACTCCGTTTGGTCGAAGTAACCGAAATTTGCCAGCATCCCTGGGCACCGGGTCTGAAGATCAATAAATATCATTCGATCGTGGATCGAGTTAAATCAATATGATCGGAAATCATTGGCCAGGAGCAGCGGTTAATTGGAAACTTGCGAAGCATGTCGCGGCCCACCGTTTAGATAATTACCAGGGGCTCGTTTACATGGCCCTGGCTGTCTGCCGATACACCATCGGAGACCTCGAGTTCCTTCGACTAATTCGATCAATGTTTACTTTGCTGTTGCAGTTGGATAGGTTCAAAGAGCCGCCGGCGTTCGGGCCGATGTGCGACCTCCTCTGGTCGGATCCCCTCGAGGACTTCGGGAACGAGAAGAACGCGGAACACTTCTCGCACAACAGCGTCAGGGGATGTTCGTACTTTTACAGGTGAGTTAAGGAACTCAGTTAAGGACTGTTCGCCAAAGAACTTTAATCGATTTTAAAAATTAACTCTTTGAGTTTTATATTTGCTATCAACCACCATATCAGGGTATAACGTTTTGCTAAAAATTTAATTTATAAATAAAAATAAAAGTACAAGAGTGTTATTAACTTCTTCGTTTAATAACTCTTTGTAGTTTTATATTTACTATCGGCCACCATATCGCGGTACCGTTTTGCTAAAAATTTAATTTGTAAATAAAAATAAAAGTACAAGAGTGTTATTAACTTCTTCGTTTAATAACTCTTTGTAGTTTTATATTTACTATCGGCCACCGTATCGCGGTACCGTTTTGCTAAAAATTTAATTTGTAAATAAAAATAAAAGTATCAGAGTGTTATTAACTTCTTCGTTTAATAACGCTTTGTAGTTTTATATTTACTATCGGCCACCGTATCGCGGTACCGTTTTGCTAAAAATTTAATTTGTAAATAAAAATAAAAGTATCAGAGTGTTATTAACTTCTTCGTTTAATAACGCTTTGTAGTTTTATATTTACTATCGGCCACTGTATTACGGTACCACTTTGCTAAAAATTCAATTTGCAGGTAAAAAAAAAGGTATCAGAGTGCAATCAACCACTTTGCTTGGTAACGGTTCTTTATTCTTTCATCCGATCGCAATTATGTAAATGGTATTCGCCGTATCAAAAAGAACAGTTATCATACAAATAGCCGTGTTATTTTGCCTCTCGAAAGGATTTCATGAAAATCGTTGCATTACTGCTCGCAGGATGAAAAAGAAAGGAAACGCTCGCAGCTGGTGAAAATTGTCAGTTGGATAAGCGCGATAATCGATTCGTGGAGCACGAGAAACACGAAAAATCTAGCTCTCCGTTGCAGCTCGTTTTTCTGGAAAATGAATAATACATTAGTTTCGCATTTTCGATATTTATATTCGAAAGAACAAATGGCGTTTTCGTCGGGCCGCTGTTTCTCGGTTTTCCATTAAAAATCCATTCGTTTCGTTGCACCGTTTTAGAACGAATTTTCAACAGGATAATACCGGTGAAAATTAAAAAGCTTGAAAATAAAATATTCATTGATTCTCCTAGTATCGTTATTTTCAGTTGCTAAAAGGAAAACATTGTATCGTTGTTAAAAAAGGCTTTGATGTTATTAGAATGTTAAGTAGTATAAACTAGCGTTCATCAGACGTTCACGACTATCGACGTAACTTTTCTACTGAAACCCAGCGATTACACATCGTTGTAATTGATTATCCTTGTTTATCCGGCTACGATTTCACCGCACATCGATAATTCGAGCGACTAATTAAGGCCAATTGTGTTTCGTTTAAATTCGTCGAGCGACGGGGTTACTTGGCCCGCGAAATCTCTGTCGCCGTCCGACCATTCGTCGGGCCGCTCTACTGAAACCTAGTTTCACTTCGCGCGGCGCGGCGCGCACTCGATGAAGTAATTAACGCGAATTTCGGGTCACGTTTCGCGTGTGTCGATGCACGGAGCCCCGGGCACGATAAAGTGCTCGTTTGCCGGAAAATATCGACAATGAGACGAGCGTGTTTCGTGCCGATTGTCGTGCTTCGTTAAGTAAATATTATCAACTGGCAAGCGCGATATAACGAACGCTTCTTGTTGATTTATTTGCAACAGCGAATCGAAGCTAGTTATAATTCGATTCCCCGTCCACAAAACCGTCATTGACCCGTACTAATGAAACTTACTTTTTTCAAAAATATTCCACTCAATTCTCGTTCAGGCTAATCAAGGATAATTATTATGATTTTTCAGCTTGTAAATAGAAAAATTCATCAAATTCAAATTATTCGTTATTGTTCGAGTGAATCTGTGTTATTTCTAATAAATAAATAATAAATAAAAAGTGTTTCTAGAAGAGGGGAAAGGTTAAACGGAGCGTAAAACTAAGCACGTGTACGCATCAGAAGCAAACCACGGTTTCTCCATACGTGAAATTTGTTCGAAGGTTGGCCGGAAGTACGGTGCAACGGAGGCTTAAAACGCTCTCGACAATTTCGCTCGTGCAGTTGCAAGCTACACGCGAGGCTACAAGCGAAAATTCGTGATAACTCTCTCTCTCTCTCTCTCTCTTTCTTTCCCGCCGCGGTGGTGTAATTTTATCCGGCGATCGAACGCGATAACAGAAGCACGGACCAAGCGTTTATAAATTATAATGCGACCGATAAATCATCAACATCTGACGGTGGTCGTCTCGCTGAATCGATTCCCCGGTTTCGTAAAAATAATTTCAACCGTCGGTTAATTAATTAATTTTATTATACACGTAGCAGACACTGAACGATACAACGAACGATATCAAGGATTTAAGGATAGAGGTCACCGCGTTTACGAGGGTGAAATAAAACGACTGAGGATCAAGATGGACGATTCTCGCGCTAGATTTTACGAGTTCGTCTTTCAAGAATGTACGATCCAAAGAGCGAGGTATTTCTTTATAGCAGCCTGGCCATTACGAAATTGCTACTAAAGTCATGGCGGCTGCATTCGTAAAAGATCTTTGGGAACGTGTTATGACCATTGCCAACGGTGTTTCGCAGTTTGAACGTGTCTCGTATTCCAGTTTCATCGGACCAGCCGATTTTCCATTGGTTCGTGTGCACTATGACGTAGTATAGGAACAGAAAAAACGTTGTCGTCTCGGGATCGTCTGTCAGACTCGTCCAATGGAGCTGACGACAGACGATCCCTGCTCCAGACGCCTATATACAGGGTGATTATCTCGCTAGTTTACTCAAAGAAAATGACGCCACACCAGTATGAATAGACCCAAACCTTTTCACGGACACAGCTACAGTATGCACCTCCGTCGAGATATCGATGGCAGAAAAGGGCTGTGTTTCAACGTGACGTTTATAATGGTGAATTGTTTAATTTCAATTCGATTTCGTTGGTTCTTTGTATAGTTACGCGGCTTGCTGCGATTTCCTGCAGAACAACAACCTCCTGAGCATCATAAGGGCACACGAGGCACAGGACGCGGGTTATCGTATGTACCGGAAATCTCAGACGACGGGCTTCCCATCGTTAATTACAATTTTCAGCGCGCCCAACTACCTCGACGTTTACAACAACAAGGTAACGTATGAACTGACCATGCTCTTGCTAATTGGTGGTATTAATTTGAAAAATGAGGTGCAATTTGTTGTGTTGCACAGGCAGCAGTGTTGAAGTATGAGAATAACGTAATGAACATCAGGCAGTTCAATTGTTCACCACATCCATACTGGTTGCCCAATTTCATGGATGTTTTCACGTGGTCCTTGCCATTTGTAGGCGAAAAGGGTAAGTATATTTTGTATTTCTTAATATTCCTTAAAAAAGGAAAGAGAAAATAGAAACAACCATTGAGTAGGTAATATTCCCTTCCTTTTCTTCTTATTTATTTAACAAATTTGAACTCAACGCATTGATAAAAACTATCAGCTTAATTAAAAATTCTCTTAATTAAAAATTTTAAACTTTTCTAATTGCCATAGATAATAAATTTACCAGAGAATTTTGATATAGAATGAAATTTTCAGTCGCTTATAAAGATTCTGTTTCTTGTTTGACAGTAACGGAAATGCTAGTTAACGTGCTAAACATCTGCTCGGACGACGAGCTGATGAGCGACGGCGACGACGGGCTCGAAGAAGGTAATGTCCTCTACCACTTCACTTTCTTCATTTCTTTTTTAATACAATCACGTTTCTTGCAGAGATTCTTCTTTCTCTTTCTATATAGATATTATATATCTATATATTATTTTTCTTCCTTGTCTATCAATTCGACATTTACTGGTCCCTCTTACATCGTGATCAGAGTGTTCCCTCTTTTGCACTTCGTTTGATGCTTGAACAAATTAACAGCCTTCGGGGAATAAATTTTGCATCCGTTTCAAGATGTTGTTTTTAGTTTTATTAATAAGAACCTCTTGTTTGATATTATATATACAAAAAGTGTTTGTTAAAATTGAAACATCTGAATACTTTTAATTCATATTGAAAGATACAAGTAATAATTAATTAAAAATGACTTTAATTTTAATTTTTTTAAATTTACAAACGCAAAGGTTTAATTTGCAGACGTCGAATTTGCTCTAAACACGATTTAAGAGAGACCATAATTAAATTCGGGAACGCGAGAATTCATTAAAATCGCTTCACACCAGAATTTTGTAATTTAATACGTTTCAATGAAGTATTTATCGTGATTGATTATAGAATTGTCGCGTTCGTTCGAATAGAAGATCGATCGTGTGACCGCAAAGATTGAAAAAAGAAAAAAAAATGTTATGCAATTTTTATTGGCTAATTTACTTTGTTATATTTCAAATGTTAATAAAATAATTCTTAATTTAAAGATTTGGAGGGCTGTTACAATGCCCATAATTCAAAGAAGGGTTAAAAGAAATTCAAGACTATAGAATAAAATAAATTCCGTTTTATTTACAAATTGTTTTATTTTGCAAATTTTTGGAAAATCAGCTTTACTGTCACGCCTCGATCCTCCAAGAGTGCAAGCAAACGAGGACTCTGCACTCGCGCGTGTATCCGAGTTTCCCTCTCTCGATTTTACTCGAGTTCACACCCTTTTCGTAACCACCTGCTACGGCCTCGTACACTTCTTTCGAGATTTCACCTATTCCGGGAACAGAAAAAAAAAAAAAAATTAGAGAAACGATCGAAACGTGTCCGAGTCACTTTATCTATCGCGACGATTGAAGCTCAAGTCAAGGGCGAACATCGAGATCTTTCTCATCCCCTAACCCCTGTCACCTATCACCCTAACTAACAATTAAATCGTAAATAAGAAGAAGGTATCGTTATCGAACCCATATCACGCGGTGTCAAACTTTCAGAGGAAGATTTTCAATTCTCTTTCTGTTTCCATTTTCACCCGCTGCACGGACAGATGGTAAGAAGCGCCACTCGACTCTTCTAATCGTCACATTATTAAGAGCTTCATTAATTATCATTGATTTCTTAGCTACATTGTTTTTCATAGATAGTGTCTCAGTGTGTCGAGTTTCTTTCTCTCTATTATTTCTGTTTGAATACGTGTACTTCTTTTATCATCGTCGGTTTCTATCATTTTCATACACATGTACGTCGTTTGATTTCTTTCCTTTCTTACTTACAAAGAAACAAAGAAATTGATAGAAAAATAAGAAACGAAAGTACACCAAGCATTTTACACCCGTTTTAAAATCGCATTCTGTTTATGATGATTCCTTTTTTTTTGAGCGTTTTCCTTCGATCGAATCATAAAACAACTGTTTTGTCCATTTTGTTTATCTATTTCATTATCTTTTTTATCTGTCTGTCTATCTATGTCACTGTCTTCTCTCTCTCTCTCTCTCTCTATATATATATATATCCATGTTTCTCTGTGGTTCGTACATCTCCTCGCATTAAGGTACGAAATATATATTTTATTATTTTCTTTCTTTCTAACTCTACTTCTCTGTCTACATGTATTTCGTTTTTTCTTTCACTCCTGTATAAATCATTTATATATTTTGTCTCGATGGCACACGGCCTGAATTTATTCTCGTTCTCACCGATATATATGATGATTATCATTCTTCTGCATCATTACGATCATAGTGCATTTAGAACGATATTATATCTCTCTGTCACCCTGATTCGGTGCATCCATTCAAGATGGTGTTTCCATGAGAATAAATTGAATTAAAGAATATAAAACTTTGATTGCAACATTGATTCTAAATCAATGAAGTCATCTGTTGTAATTAGTCGATCAGAAATAAATGGAGTTATAGTCTGTGTAAAATCAGCTGACCATTAAGGAATACTTTGCCCGTTACAAAAGATATTAATAACAATCTTTTTTTAATAATAAGTTTTTTTGAACTTGAAGGGATGATTTTTTAAAATTAATAATTAATTTTTTATGCATGTTCGTTCACCTTCCAAGAAAGCACAATTTTTCTATTATATTTAAAAGTAAATGTACTTCCACCATCCACTAAATATTTTAGTGTTAAAATATTTAATAAAAATTGTACATAGTTGGGTAAGTAATATCATTCAGAATATTTAAATGTATTTTAAAATGTTTAAACAAATAAATAGGAGAGATCTGCAATACGACCTTGAGCAGTGATCGATTTTAAACAGACTATATCTGCAATGCCGTCGAAACGTCAAGAAAACTTTTCCACGCGACACCCTCAAATAGTATTAACCCAGAAAAAGAGATTACAGATGCACCAGAGTGCAACGGCACCATCTCGAATGCTGCAGACACGCGAATCACGCATGCAACGATCCGGTCAGCCGTCGATTTTGCACGATGGAAATCGACGTTCGATCGATCGTTACGTATTCTCGGTGTTATATCAGATGATATATATATATATATTTTTATACATATATATCTTCGCACCAACCTTTCGTTTCTCTCTGATCTAGCCCCCGCTCGACTGTGTACCAATTGTTATATCCGAATTCTCGAGTTCGATTTTACTTTCTATCGTGTCAAGTCCTCTCCTACAATATCCCAACTCCACTGGCCCACTTGAGCCCTCCGCACTTTGTTCTCGTTTCTTTTTTTCTTTTTTTTTATACATCTGTGTGGTACGAGTAGCGGTCCAATCCCTCGGTACACGTGCACCAATCGTCAGAGATGGACTTTCGCGATCAATCATCTAGTAATTTGAAAGATAATAGCACTTGTGATACATCAATTTGTAAAACGTTTACATAGCCACTTTTGTCAAACTTTAAGCTTTAAATTGATATATTGTGAGTATTATTCTGTGATACTTTTCTGTCATGATATCAACACGAAACTTTCTATGTTTCGAAATCAGTCACTGTTTGCTATAATTAACAACCAGTTATTTTGTATTAAAAATCCAAACGAAACGTTTGTGTAGCAATTTTCTTTAATCTTTGAGCTTTAAATCGATGTATCATAGGTACTATTTTGCATTTCAAAATCAACCCATGCAATAATTTAATATCCAGACTGTGCAATTAATCTTCGAACGAAGTAAGTTAAATATCGCGAAATGGAGTTATAAAACGATCGTGAAACGTCCATCTCGCAGAAGGAAACGAACGAGAAAGCACCCCTTGGTCAAACACGACGTGGTTCCTGAGCAGTCTAGGGTGTTAGTCGAGCGTGTGATCGTGAACCGAGGATAAACAGGATGATACATCCGAGAGATCCAATTTCCGAGCGACTCGATCGTTGATTTCGTGAATCGTTTCCGAAAGACGTAATCCTAGGTTTACCACCCCGGACGGTTACCCAAACTACCGAAAGCCCAGCCCCTTTTCATGCCCCACGAAGTTGCACTGACTATCTTTTATCGTACTCCTTCTCTATTATATTTGTATCAATCACACTGGCCTTGGACTCCTCCTATCTCGGCACGACACTATGCTACTACTACCTCTACTACTTCTACTACTACTACTACTACTACTACTTCTACTACTACTACTACTACTACCACTCAAAACTCCGTTGTTCGGCATACGCAACCCCCGTAAAGTCGCAGCCAAAGTCGTTGTCCAAAAAAAGAACGGTAAGTCCCCAGTGAGAGAGCCGACGACTTACTTGAAAAACAAAAGAAAAAAAAAACGCAAAGAGAGTTTCATTTTCTTCTTCTTTTATTTTTTCTTTTTTTTCTTTGGTCTCTTCTTTCGTTTGATTGAGTCGCTATCAAAAAGTAACCCAATAGTCTGAATCAAATACCAGATATAAATATACGATACGATGGATATATTTATACTGCAATTTGAACTCGTTTTATTTGTCAGTGTTTCTTCTCTTTGTGTGCGCTCGCGCGGACGCGGACGAGAAGCGAGTTCTGCTGGACCGGAAGTGTCGCACATTCTAATAATTACAGCGATATTTGCTTATCTGTCAATTATCAGTTCCTTTGCGTACAAAGTTGCTCAGTTGATTTAAAAATGACATTATTCATTCTTTAGAATATTTTGCTAGATTGCATATCTGTTTGCTCGAATATTCGACAAATAAATTAAATGTTAATTAATCATTAAATATTGACCGAGAAAAGACACCAGCAGAACGAACTTCTATGGAACGTTCCGCGCGGCCCATAATCTTTCTTCACTTTGTTTTTTTGTCTCTTTGCTCCTGTTATTTTAACTATATTTACATAACTCCACGCCGTAATCTCTCTGTCTACTTGTCTTCTCATCTACTGTCTTTTTATTTCTTGTTTTTGTACACGGTGCTCTGTTGAGTCCTTTGTTTCTTTCACTCTGATTGTGAGTCTTTGAATCGAGATGTTAATCAGAGAACGTTCTACTCACGATGGTCGTTTTTTTCTTTTTTACCAAATTCTATTTTTCTTTTTTTCTTCGGTTTTTTATCTCGGTTCGATCACGTTTTAGTTGACGTTTTTGTTGGGCCACCGCCTCTTTAAACACTTGTTTTGACCCCCGTATCTATACCGACACGCTGCGTTAACACACCGATCGCTCTCACCGATCACACTGTTCCCATCGTCGCTTCCTTTCTTCATTTTCTCTTTTTTTTTCGGCGTAGTTTACGATCGATTAACCATCCACTGCAATAATCACGTCAAGAAGAAAGGGTTTCTGCGAATTTGTCCTGTGATAAACGACAATACGGGAAATTATTTAATATTTGATTCGAAAATTGAACTTTCTAACACGATTTTTCAATAATTGGAGAATTAAATTTAATATTGTTTGATTTTGTAAAATTTTCAATATTTTTCGCTGTCCATGCACGTTGGAAAACTTTTTTTTCGTACGCGTTTGCTATCGACGTATTTTTACAATTTTTCTTCTTTTTTTTTTTATGAATTTCAAAGCTTTTCGTGTGCGTTTGACGGGCGTTCAAATTTTTCGATGGCTCTCGAATTGTCGTACGTTTCGATTTTCTAGGAATGGTTTCATAGTTACGCGAGTATTGGTACACGTTCAAAGTGCAGTTACATCAACGTAAACGATATATTACTGTCGCGTTGCAATCGTATCAGAGGATTCAAAATAACTTGAAAAACTTGCTTTATGAAAAAAAAGATTAAAACTTCAGTTTTATTATATATTTAAAAAAAAAGAATCATCTTTATCATGTTTGCGCTTGCATAATACTAAAATTTATACACAGAAATAATTTAAAAAAAAAGAAACTTTTCTTAAAATAGAGCAAAGGGTTAATTACAACGTATGAAAGATAGAACAGGAAGGAATAGTCGGAGATTTCTGGCAAACGTTATGATAATTATCCGGAGGTTTTAACTGATAAAATGTTAACAAAAGGACGTAGATTAACCGTGTACTCCGGCGTTAATCCCTCGCGCTCTCTGACTGTGCGTGGTGCAATTATAATCGGTATTAGTAGTGGCGAACGGAAAACGGTGCTCTCATAAAGCCAAGGTGGGCCAATGAAAATTTAACGCCCCGCGTAAAACGAGATGTTACGACGGCTGCAGGAATAACCTCGAATTACCGGCGCCGCCATTATTCGCGAAATTCCAAGGCTGAATTGAATTTTACCGTGAACGTTTTACGGCCAACCAGCGTGGGTAACGTTAAACCAGTGTTCTCCAGAAATGAGATATTCCCTGCCAAAGCAAATTGTGTACGTTGACTGCCAGTTGAATCACTAATTTGACAAATCAATTAACAAAAAGTAGAGAAATTTCTAAAATAATATAAACATCAATCAAGTGTTTTGAAAAATTTTAAACGTGGATTATTTGACTATTAAATTTCAAAGTGGAATGTTTAAAAAATTTTTACATTGCATTAAAAGTAAATAGAAAAATAAATTTAAGAAATGAAATAATTGTTTGTCCATAATAAGTATAATTATGATATGTCTGACTAAATATGGTCATTTCCACTGTGGCAGTTAACGTATTAACTAGGCCATCTCACGGAAATTTCCAAATTGTTCCTGTTTCTCGGTCTCTCTCTCATTTTTTCCCTGGAGGAGGAAGAGAGACAGAGCTGGAAAAGGCAGATGAACCCTGGTGAACTCAGGATCGATATCCAAGCAACGACAATACGTTTCTCCTTCAAACAATCCACGGAAGCAGGCGTTGACTGATGTACGGATAATCCGGATGAAACACGGTTAATCTTCGAGCGCGTACGTGCAAGGGTAGCTAGCTAGCTGGTCGATTGTTTTCGGTTCTTTGTTGGAAATCTGCTCGTTTCTTCATCTTTCTGTCTCGCACTTTTACTCTTTTATTCGTCGTACACGCTGCGAGTGTTTTTAAACAACCGTCTGACTGCGATAAACTACAGGTGAACAGATTTTTATCAATTATTTTAAATTTTAACTAAAATGAAATTGAAAATACAATAGATTTTGAAATTGATTCTTTTCTTTTACATTAGCTGCTTTGTTTTTGGAAGTTATAGAAATTTATAGATAATAAGTTCTTTATTGGCTGTTTGAGGTATCAGATGAAGGTGGTTAATTAATAAAAATTTGTGAAAATTTTGTAATTAGGCGGTTGGTTTTCAAACAGCTGTGTTCAATCTCGCCCGGGAGAGCGTGTATCGATCGATCGAACGCATCGAGTTCGACGAGATAAAGAGAGGAAGGGCATCTTTTCATCCCCGTTGTCAGCCGTGACCCGGTGCAACCCTTCGTCTTCGACGCGACCAAACGGATCTAGGTTTTCAGGGAATCGCGTTCCGTTTAATTTACCACACCCCCACCCCCACGAGCCGCCGTCGTATTTTTCTTTGACGATTCTTTCCTCCTTGCACTAGGCTGGCAGAAATTAATTTTGTTACTGGAGCGTGGAGATATCGGAGATTTTCGACGTTTCACTTGTACTCTGGCTTTCATTATTTCTATAATAACGAACATTCTTTTTTTTTTACACCGAATTTGGAAAAAAGAATTATTGTAAAAGTATAGGGATTTTTTATGTCTACATTTTGATTCGGTTTTGTAATACGAGATTTTGAAAACATGAATTGTTTTTTGCAACTTCAGAAATTGCTTCTAATATGCTGGCAAGGTTGAACTAACTGGACTAATTAATAGGTAATTAGAGACACATCGACGATTACGCTAACTGTACTTGAACAAGGTGTTAGTTTTGTCAGAAAGTTGTTAAGAGATTGTTAAATAATTATCCAATTATTACTTTTAACTTGGCTATTATCTAATTGTTTTGCAACTTCACTCTTGCCTCCAATTATCATAATTAAGATCAGGTAGATGATCTTTAGACACCTTCGGCTGATGGATTATCTTTTAAAAATGAAATTAATGAAAGCCGGACAATGAAATGACGAATGAAAAAAAGGAGAAAATCACTTAGAATTTCAGGCAAATCTTTCACGATCTTGTTAGTCGTTAGTCGTTAGAAGCAAGCTTTCTCACTCTCGAAGAACAATAATTTAAAAAAAGAGTTGAAGTTAGGAAGCAAGTTTGAACCAAGTGCAGTCAGGAGAAAGAAAAACAACAGAACCACCATCCTCGTCCCTGTTACAAGTATCTCGATCTTCACATATCCCCTTTTAACGCAGTACAATTTTTATTATTTCCATTTTCCCTATATTTCTTTTCTCTCGTTGACTCTGGTTTGTCGTTCAAAAAGGCTGCGACCACATTGTGTCACAGCTGTGTGAACACTCAAACCCTTATTTTTCGATCGAATTTTTTCTCTTTATCGCGAACCTTCCAAGATGGTAGTTCTATTTCGTAAAGGCTACGTGACGCATCCACAAGACTGTACGACCTTTCGACACAATTTTAACGCCGATTTTTCCAGCCCCTTGAACCACCCCTTTTCTCGGCACGCCACACTTTTCAGCCTGTGCACGCTTCTACGATCTATTTCTCTGGCTGTGTTCGCGTTAAAAGAGGCAAGCTCGAGCTGAAGCTGAGAACAAACGATTGCAAAGCAAAGGGGGTAATTTTTAATTGGGCTGTACTTTTGAAATCATCCCCTTTCAAAATCGGAGATCTTCTTAAAAATTATGATATCGTAGGTTTAAGTGTAGATCTTTTTGTTCTAATGAGATTAGTAATTATTTAGTAATTCGAATGCCTTTAGAACTTGAATATTAGAATATCGTTAGAATTTCAGTAATTGGGGTAATTCGAATACCATTAGAATACGAATATTTTAATTGCAATTGAATTTCACTAATTCGGATAATTCGAATACCATTAGAATTCGAGTATTAGAATACCATTAGAATTCCAATAATTGGGGTATTTCTAATAACATTAGACTCCGAATATTCCAATACCAGTAAAATTTTAGTCATTCGGATAATTCGAATACCATTAGAACTCGAATATTTCAATTGCAGTAGAATTTTAATGATTCGGATAATTTGAAAACCATTAGAATTAGAATATTCGAATACATAATTTTGAGAATCCATACGCGTAGCAATAATATTTTAACTCAATAAATAATTAAGAATCCTCTTAAAACGTGAAGACAGCCACAGATCCAAATATATTCCCAAATAAATCGCATCTAGCATCCCCCCGCCCCATAGAAAGGAATTAAATATTTGAAACTTTTATTTATTTATGTATCGTTAAAATCTATGGTACCTATTTATCACGAACATCGTTGCTCGACATCGTGCCATCATTTCTTTTTCATTAAAAACCTTATTCATCTCTATCCCTCAGCATCTCGCGAACACTTCCGGCTGTTCTATTCCGACCGTGTTCCCTGATTTGCTCGTTTCTTAATCGTTTTACGTTCTCTTTAATACTTCTAATTCTATCTGTCATTCGCGTTTACTTTTTACTATTAACTTCGCCTGAAAGAGTCTTGCGACACTATTTAATTTCTTTTTTTTATGTTTCTTTTTCTCGCGCATGCTATAGCGCCGAGTAGCTCCTAGGATTAAACTAATTAATTATAATTAGCAATTAGACGTATTTAATGAAGATGGTTGAGGAATTCATCTGATTAAAATCCTTGCTTTTTGTTATTATTATTATTTTTTTTTAATTCATTTAACAAGTTTGCTACCAGCATTCAGTCGGAAATTTGTTCATTTTATATCATTTTTTAACGCTTAGACGACCGTAGTCACATATTCATGACTTTCATATGCAATTTCAATTTATTTTTTAATTTATTTCCATTCCAGTGAATAATTTTGTGGCAAAAATTTTATAAATTCTTACAGTAATCTCTTATTTTGTGTAAAAAATATATATAAAATGACAAAAGCCACTAATTTTATAACATATGCAATCGTCAGTGTGTTAAATTGAATTCTTTCGTTGCATCGGAATTTTTAATAAATTATTAAACAGATGAATTCCTGAACGATCGACAAACCACGTATTAATCATACACTGTTTTTTTAATCAGTTTTTGCAGGTAGCTTCTATGTAGCAGTGTGTTATTGACCACGCACAATATTTTCAAATTACAATATAATTGTAGTTTGATCTAACTACTTCCCAATAGTGATTACTTTGATCGACTTCCAGTTCTGTTACAAATATACGAACGTATCGTTTAATGAAAAGTTTAATGAAAAACAGCCTGGAAGATAAACATTCGATAGAAAGTAATCACGAAGTTTGAACTAGGGCGGTCTGCGTATACCCTTCTTTGATATGAAGCCTGAAACTTTTCAAATTGCATTCCTCAAGTGCAAAATAATATATAATTTTTTCCTGTTTACATTCTTGCAGCCAACTTTTGCAATCGTAAATTTTGAAAATAAGCCAATCTTGAGGTAGTTGGTTATTTATATTTAGCTGGAAATAAGTTTGAATAAAGTTTGATATTTTAATTTGATTTTAGATTGGTAAATTTTTTTAAGAATATTGAAATTGATTTTTTTTTTTGTAATCTTGAATTTTTAATATTTGGTGATTTGAAAAATCTTAAAACGCAGATTGCTCATGTTTCCCACTAATTAATTACCTTCTTACGCTTTCAGTATTCACCATTCAATATTTATTAAACAATTTATTGCTTAGTTTTTTGTCTGTCGAATTTGATCCGAGAACGTCGAGTGATTATTTCAATTTGAAATTTAAACTCTTAGAATTTCTTGGACAGAATGTAAGAAAAATATTTTGCTGGATGTTCTGGATTAAAGACGGCGAATTCACAAGGGTAATCCTTAATTACGTGTCAACATTTCGAAGGGTGCATTTGGAAATAAAATGCTAAAAATTTCACAGGAACTTCACGTTCGTGTGACTCTTTGTTTTGTATCACAAATTTACCCTCTGAAGTATTGGCGTGCAAATAAGAATTACTTTTTGATGTACGGGGTGAGTCAAAAGGGGTTGTTTTTCGTTAATCAACATACTTTCCCTAGGGAAAATATTTTTGTAGAATCTTTATTTAACTTTTCTCTATCGTACCACTTATTTTTGACTCAGCCTGTATAGAAATGATTAATAACGATTTGAACGATACAAGATATTTTTTGATACCTCAAAAACACTAAAAATATTTTCAATTCGAATATTTATAAATTATTTACAATTTCGAATATTTTATATAACTATCCGTGCCAAAATTCAAAATAGAAAAGTCATGAATCCATAATCACGTATGAAAAATTAATTAATTACAGTGTATTAATAAATATCTTGTGAGAAAATAATAATTTCTAAAAAATTTTAACGCACCAGTGCTTTAATTGAATGCCACTTACGTTGTGCACTTTTTTGTCTGTTCTATGTGTTTTACTTTATTCAACAACCACCACCACCATGATCATCACCATCGATCATCCAAAACTGTACAAAATAACGACTCCTTCATTTGGACTGTACAAAAAAAAAAAAAAAAAACGACCGACAACAACAACAACAACAATGAAACAACATTATACATATTTGCCTTTCTCTCTCTTTATCTATCTCTATCTCTTCGGCCGCATTGATGCTGCTCTCACATTGTTGGTTACTTCTGTCCTTTAACTTACGTCCACGCTCTCACCATCGATAAAACGATCATGGTCACCATGGCCGCCATGGTAATCCGATGGTAACCCGACGGTCTGGTCCAAATACGACCCCACCTACCATCGCGTACGGTGAGTTATTTTTTGTTGAAAGTGAGCCATAGATCCTCGATCGTGGAGGATCGAGATTACTCATAGAAACTCGATCTTGCAAAATTACATTTTATTATACTAAAAAATTACAAATTTCAATCTAGTCAATCGAGATAATTGATAATAAACAGTGTTAAATCATTGAAGATAAAAAGAAAAAGAAGGTCTGTTTTTTAATAGAAAAATATTGCAAGACGTGTTCTTTTATTCTGATCCTCCACGAAACGAGCACGCAATGAAATAGGAACACGACCTAGTGTCCGGTGCTTCCTGTCGACAGACTCAAAGATCGTTCCGGGTCATGCGAATCCATTGCGAGTCTGTCGACGGAAGATTGGGCTCTCGCGAAGCTTCCTGTTCGTTGTTAACGAACGAAACCGCAGGTGCATCGATCAGATCGAGTTGCATAGGCGTCGCAGTTCTTTAGGACCATTGAGAACAAGGCTCAGCAATGTTTTTTTTTTTTAAGAACCAGATTTTTATTATTTCTAGGCTTTGCGGGCCAAAAGGTACAATTAATTATTTTTTATCATTCTTTTTGCTGATCCCAGCTCTAGATGAGTTTGATGGATTGGTTGCGGCGACGTCTATGCATTGAAAGACACGGAGATTCATCTAATTAAGTTATAATTATCCACTTGAAGCTAATGACTGACCAGTTCAAAAAATTGACCTTTTAATTACTTGCTAAAAATTTGAGTCGCTTAATAATTAAAATTGGACCACTTAAATTAATTAAAAATAAATGAATCTCCGTTTCTGTCACTCGATACCAAACTCGAACACCTTATGATAAATGTTAGCTCGGTAGAACGCTGTCGCAGTGGCGTTTTAAATCATCAGGAAATGATTTTCTTTCTTTTTTTTTTTAATAAAATTCTAAGCCTAAAGTGAAATTTCAACAGTATAGTAGAGAATTGTAAATTGAAATTTCCTCGTTTAAATTTCGTCTTAAGACTGATTATCGTTTCATCGGGGAAATTCAGGTTTCTAAGACATTGATGGTTGATCCAAGGATAACACGCCATTGCGACATGCCACGAGTGCGTAATCATGCGCTGACACGTAAATGTCTAGAGAGCAAAGGCTTGATCTGTTGTATAAATTAGTAGTGACGTACGTCGTTGTATGTGCCGCATCGTCCTTCTCGGTGAAAGCCGCAGGATTGCAAGGGATGATCGATAAATGTAACTGTGCTCCCTCGGCAACAGCCCGAAATTTCATCGCTGCGTTCTTCAGTTTCGAGAAGAACGCCGGACACGATACTTCTTGATAGATCGTTCTTGTGAGAGGCTGTAATCCCCTTTCACATGTTTTTCTTTTCTACAATCAGTTTCCCAGCTTTTCTTCCATGGAAGTTCTCTTTTCTCATTAAAGTATTAAATTATTTTCAAATTAACACTGCCAATATATATATATATATAAAAAAAGGAATAGTACTTGAAAGAAATGAAAATTCTTCACTTTAAAAAGTAATAGTTGAAAGTTAGTAAAAATTGGATGGTAGAAATGATTCGTCATGATTTTAACGCGACAGAAACGCGAACCGATTCTTTCGAACGAACGAGAAAACGGGATTCGCGCTGACCTTTCGTGCAACGCTTTTACGGGGAAATGGGCGTCGCAGGATATTCCAGAAATGTTTTCTTCCTGCCATCTCAGCAGAACGTTCGCAAAAAGCTTTTCCATGCAACGTTTATAGCGGTACGATCGCGGATTACGAGAAATTAAAAGGTTCTTGCGAAATTGAGCCGTGTACGAGTCTCTTATAATGGCACCAAATTACGACCTCGTTAACGTTCCATTGAAACAAGAAGATTAAAAATAGAAATTCGACCTTTTTTTTCCCCTCATCGATCACCTTAAAATCTAAAAAAGGATAGAGTCGCATTCTAATTCTTCATCGGTAAAAGGAAAAAGTATCTCTTTAAGTGACAAGTTTGCCCAATTTGCTGTAGCCTCGCAACCCCTGACATCCTCAAATATAATTCGCGAATGCTTAGGGAAGCGGAAACAAGACGACACAGGAACGATATTTTCACGTATGTCGAATCATGTGAAATTGCCTTTAGAGCGAACAAGCTATAGAGATTCCCAAGAAGTATGACTAATACATGTTGCTATCCCTTCGATTTCCCAATCAATCAATGGGAAAAAGAAAATAAAGTCGATGGTACATCGAATATATATGTTGAGCATGAATTTTTTAGTCGATTCCAATCGTACGATTACCGTTTAAACAGTCAACCTATAGCGAGCAAATAGTATACAGTGTATTCCAGAAAGAATGTTAATCCTTCAAGGGGGTGCTAGCTGGGGTGATTCTGAACAACATTTTCCTTTGCGAAAACGTTCAGAATCACCCCAGCTTCCACCCCCTTAAAGGACTAACACTCTTTCTGGGACACCCCGCATATCATTTTCAAGTGAAATAATAACACGGTGATTAATTTAATTTAACGAATAGAATAATTTTTCGGTTACGACGATGTTGAAACGGGACCTCCATTTTCTATTCACTCAAGAACAAAATGGCCGACATTTAGGCTGTTCGATATCTCGTTTACTGAATTGCCCGTAGTCTGCTTCTTAACCCGTAACTATGCGCCTAGAATTTCACGGATAATTTCAGCCTGAAACCTCTTAACTATTCCACCATCGGTGCTTTTAACAATTATAGAATGATAGGCAATTTTAATGGCGGATCGTTAGTACCGACCCAGTGGTTCCCAATCTGTACTCCTCATGGATTAAAAAATGAAAAGAAGCACCTATGGTTTAGCGGTATAGCGGGGCTCGGAGATATAGGGCGGCGATTGTAAATCATATGAGTTTTAAGGAGATAATGAGCTTAAGTCTTATTCTCGGTCAAATTAATTTATTAGCAATCTGAAACCCTGATAGTTTATAGTACGTTATACACTATATCTCCACGCCCAACTATACTTACTAAAAGAAAATGAATCTGCGGTGAGCATGATTAGTCTATAGATAGTCATATATTCTTGGCACTGAAAAAAGAAAAGGCATAAAAACTTCCTAATTTTTCTAAATGCAATTCTTCGAAAAAAATTCAAAATATCATTCGGATAATTCTCTAATCAGATTAAGATGTAGAAATACATGGGTAGAGGTTGAGAACGACTGAGTTGTACTACCATTGTACCCACCTCCGTCCTGAAGAAAAAAATCCATACGCGAAGCTAAGTTCTCTTCCCCGAGCGTCCCGCGAAAAATTCTAACACGTAGATACGGGTTACAAAACTAGCGATAAAGAGGCAAAGAAATACGCACAACGAAATGTTAAAAAAAAAAAAATTTCGTCAGGAGAAAGTAGGCAAGTTGCGACGATTTTGACCCCGGGAAAAAAATTAGAAAAAAAAAAAAATAACGACGACTGGTAAAGCACCCGTATAGTGACCCGATGGTGCGTACGTTTCTCGCGCTCGACTTTGCATGCGCATGATGACCTCTTTCTCTTGCATTGCCCGAGTTTCTTCTTTTTTTCCCCTTTTTTGCATAACAAAACAAGCTATGGTTATGTAGCCAACGGCCTGCACGTAGACGCCATATTGTACGTACGTGTATGTACGCATGTTCGCACAACAGCTTCGTTTACACGCGGGCGCGTGCATTTCGTATGCAATGAGCCTGTGCTATTATCCTCGTGCACTCTCTCTCTCTCTATATATATTTTTACATATGTATGTATATTTAATACGATACGATCCGAAGGTTTCTCCTTTATGCATTTATTTTTTTTCTTTACTCGTGTCCGTCAGGCGATTCCGGTTTTACTGCTGCATAAAAAAGAATCGACGGGATCTCTGTGAACTTTGTACTTTGTTTAAAGACGTACGAAAAAAAAAAAAATAGGAGAATAATATACTTATTTTTCTTTGATCGCGCGTCTTTCGCGCCAAATCTACTGCGCGTGCGCGTACGCGAGTTGCCGTAATGCGCGCGAAATTCAAAATGATATACGACTCGATCGATGTATTATACTGTTTTTTTTAAATATTTCATTTTTATTTTCTTTGCCTTTCTTTGTGGCAGTTAAATGAACGTATACGTTGGATATCTATTGTTTAGTTCGCTGTTAGAGGAGAATAGAAAATGTCGCGGAGGGGAGAATAATTGCGACGATTCTGCCGGGTGGAAAAATTAATTTTCTTTATAATTATGTTAAATTATAGGTTTAAATCTGTACATCGAGACTAATATGCACTCGCTCGTCGCGTAGCACCGAATTTTTGGCTGTAGTTTTGCCGTTGTTGTTTGCCGTGAGACCCAAGAATAACGAGTGATTTATTATTTCTTTTTTTTTTTCTTATAACATAATCATCGAGTAAGCTATGGTATGAATAACGTAGTGACGCCAAGCTGGATTTTCTCCGCGGTATAAATCGCGGGGTAAATCCGTGATCGCGATCTCGCGAAGGCTTTTCGGTTCCTCGTTTATAGTTTAGTGTTTTATTGAAATACCATCGATGTCAGTTTCTTTCGTGCAGCCATTCGTAGATGATTAATTAGCAGCATATCATGCTAATGATTCCAAGGTAACGTTTCTTGCGACGTAAGTGTGACATTAGATCAGTTTGCTAGTGACTTTGTCTTGGAAACTTCTTAGAGCCTCTAGTTAATTAATGTTTACCTTCGCGACGTCGTCGATCACAGAAAGAACGCAAACTGCGTTCGCTTGGATTGATTTATTCCAACTTTGCCCTCTCGATTTTCTAGGTGCAGCAGCCAATCTACGCAAGGAGGTAATCAGAAACAAGATCAGAGCCATTGGAAAGATGGCGCGTGTCTTCTCTGTCTTAAGGTCAGTAAATTATTCAATTAATTGAAATTTATTAATTATAACTCATAAATATTGTAACATGCTATAATTTATTTCTATTATTTACGTTCTACCGTGAATCGAAATGACACAAAGCTAAATAAGAGAAATCGCCGTGTTATATCGGGAGACGTTCACATAAATCAACAGAAATTACGTGGATTCGGCGTGGATCGGGAGGGTAATTCGATAAAATTCGTGTTTAATTCGTGATTCGAACCGTGCTGCGAGCGGAAGTTCCGGCGGGGGGCAACGAAGAACCGAAGAGAGAACGACGTACGTTTCATCCGCAAACCGATCGTAATTGGCTGGCGGAACAATTATGCCTCGATTACGCCGATAGAATTCATCGATGACGAGGAAATATTCCGGGGATCGATCGAAAGTTTACGATTTCGCGAAAATAATTCCCGCTCGTTTGGTCGCGCGATATTAATCGCTTTCAACACCCCGTCCCGGAGGGGTGAGAATTGAAAATGGAAAATGGTCCGCGATGAAAAATCCTCTGATTCGTTCCGTTCGAACGAGTATCCCCGTGGAAAATAACAGTGGTCGAATTGTTAAATATCGCGGATAAAGGGTATAGCAGGATAAGATAGTCAAAAGTGCCCTTGAGCCGAATTTGCTTCGCAATGCACCATTCGATAGCATATCCCAAAAAACCATGGTACACCAAGTTTCAACCCTGTACCTCAACCGGGAGGGTAGTTACAGGGTAAGAAAGAAAAAGTAGTTTTTGCCATATTTTCCCTATTAAATGGCATTCAAAAAATCTGAAAAAATTCTAGAATATTCTAGCCATGTTTCTTTATGATTGTGAATTTTCTCAGATTTTTCGGTTGCAAATCCTAGGCGTGAAAAATCAAAAACGCAAAAAAAAGTCGAAAAATAGAGATTTCGGGTAGAAGCTTTCGAGACACTAGATTTTTACTTTTACAGTAGTTAGATATTAGCATGACTGGTGTCCTCAATTTTTTTCAGATTTTTCATTCTGGTGCGTCAAACCGAAAAAAATCAAAAACCGATATTTTCGATATATTTCGTGCGATAACATGAGAAATACTTTCAATTTCTACATTTCCTTTACACACTTAGTGCATTATGTGATTTCGAACATTTTTGCACTGGATGCAGTAAAATCTGAATGGAGAGAGTGAAGTTATTATAAATAATTGAAAATTACGCACCTTATCCTCTAAAATATTAGAAATTTTTTCAACGTCGCCGATGAATAAGTCGGTAAGGTGTCCGACTATGGAATCGCTGGAAACTTTTTTGTCACGAGTTCGCGCCCCATGAATGTACAATTCTATTTTTTGTCATAAAACAATTTTTTTTTAAATTATTAATCACATAAGAATACACAATAATCATTTAATAACGTATGAAAATAATTTTGAAATATTTTATTATTAAGTATACATAAAAATCAGTGGTACACAACCGACTCTTTGGCTATATGTACAATTAAGGTAAAATATACATATCTGTATTGATTTCAATATCCATCATAAACCAACAACCACACAACTTTTCAATTAACAAAATATTGGGAGCTATCCGTAATTAGAACAGTACGAAATCAGAAAATCGGTAGTGCACCACTTATTTTTATGTATACTTAATAATAAAATATTTCAAAATTATTTTCATACGTTATTAAATGATTATTGTGTATTCTTATGTGATTAATAATTTTAAAAAAAATTGTTTTATGACAAAAAATAGAATTGTACATTCATGGGGCGCGAACTCGTGACAAAAAAGTTTCCAGCGGTTCCATAGTCGGACACCTTACCGAGTTATCCATCGGCGACGTTGAAAAAGTTTCTAATATTTTAGAGGATAAGGTGCGTAATTTTCAATTATTTATAATAACTTCACTCTCTCCATTCAGATTTTACTGCATCCAGTGCAAAAATGTTCGAAATCACATAATGCACTAAGTGTGTAAAGGAAATGTAGAAATTGAAAGTATTTCTCATGTTATCGCACGAAATATGTCGAAAATATCGGTGTTTGATTTTTTTCGGTTTGACGCACCAGAATGAAAAATCTGAAAAAAATTGAGGACACCAGTCATGCTAATATCTAACTACTGTAAAAGTAAAAATCTAGTGTCTCGAAAGCTTCTACCCGAAATCTCTATTTTTCGACTTTTTTTTGCGTTTTTGATTTTTCACGCCTAGGATTTGCAACCGAAAAATCTGAGAAAATTCACAATCATAAAGAAACATGGCTAGAATATTCTAGAATTTTTTTAGATTTTTTGAATGCCATTAAGTAGGGAAAATATGGCAAAAACTACTTTTTCTTTCTTACCCTGTAACTACCCACCCGGTTGAGGTACAGGGTTGAAACTTGGTGTACCATGGTTTTTTGGGATATGCTATCGAATGGTGCATTGCGAAGCAAATTCGGCTCAAGGGCACTTTTGACCATCTTATCCTGCTATACCCTTTGAAGGAATTAATTCGGCTTGATTAACATGTTGCGTTAAACGTGAACCGATTATCATTTATCATACACGCAGAGGGACAGTATAATTAATATTTTCCCGTGGTTGCTTGTTTTTCAGGGAGGAGAGCGAAAGTGTGCTGCAGCTGAAGGGGCTGACTCCTACTGGAGCTTTACCACTTGGCGCGTTATCTGGTGGCAAAACGTCCCTAAAAAACGGTACATTTTTCTTCTACCTCGATAATTTGCTAGAAGAATAATAGGAAATTTTTTCAGAAACCCATTTCCAAATTTTTGTCGCACAAAATTATTAATTATTCAACCGTTCTTTTATAATTTCATTAATTTTTTCGGGCCTCGATGATCATATTGTATTCCTTATTTTATAGTAAAAATATATTTAGACTTAACGATAAACGTGGTCTTGCTTGAATCATTGGGCCACACTCTATGGTAGGAATGCACTCCCGGTGCATACGCAATGTACCACGCGACAAGGTGCGTTTGCATCGCCAACAGATCTAAATTCTTCTGCTGTTCACAGAATTATTCGAGGAACCCTGAAAGTAGACTTAATATTTAAAAGGATCATTTTTATTCGAATTTCGTTTGAATCAAAGGAAACTAAAAAATTGATTAAATAATTTAATGAAATGTATATTTTGATGGACGAATCGTCGTGTTCACAGCTCTCCAAGGATTCTCGCCGAACCACAAAATCACCTCGTTCGCCGAAGCAAAAGGTCTGGACGCTATAAACGAAAGGATGCCGCCAAGAAAGGACGCTCCACCGACGCCGGTAAACGAGGAGAAGCCCGTGATAAAGCCGTCAACTCCTGCGGGAGACAAGCGAGACCACAACACACCGCAACCGCAATCGTGAGCCTCACACTCGTCCAATCAAGGTACACATCACACCCACGTGGATGATCCTGACAGAGGGAGAGTGCCTTCTCTCCCTTTCCTATCTCTTTCTGCTCCAAATAGATCAGGATCTACTGTCCTGCGAGTATCCTGCTCGATAAGATACTTGCGATTGACAAACGATCATCATTTTTATGTTCGCAATTTCAATGGGATAAAATTGGATTTTGATTTTCAAAAAGATTCTTCAAGAAAAGCAAACTTCAATGGAAAATGTTCTTAAATGTGTCTGAAATAGTAATTTGAAAATTTTATCTTCATAAACTGCAAGTTGAAGTTGATAATTAACGAATTAAGTTTCTTTGCAATTAACTTTTTTATAATAAAACGACTATCTTAATCAAGAGAGGAGGAGAACTGTTCGTGTTAGAATTTGTTAATTAACGCTGGAACTTTCAGGTATTTCAAAGAATGACAATTCTTGGAGAATTTATATCTTCTTCGTTTAACTATAATCTACTAATTATAAAAATCGTTTGTCAAATCAAAGGACCGTTGGTTCAGAATAGAGCTAAAAGAAGCAAAAGAAAAATTACATAAAGGAGCAATTAGCGTCATCGCGTACGAATCAGTAAAAGAACTCTGTAGTATCTGGCAAAGTGTTAATTGAAATTGATCAAGTAGACTGTTCGACGGTTCCTTGATGATAAATGAACGATAAAGTTTTTCCACGAGTGATCGTGTATCGAAAATTGCCACGAACAGCTCGATGATAATCACCGATTAAATTCACGCACGATTCATGCACCGATTCTCTGTCTCGATCGTGGCCTAACTAATATCAAACGACTGAGACTACAAACTCACGACTAACCTGACATTTGGTGACGAGCTGTTACGTGTGTCAGATTTGGGAATATTTATTTGAAAATCATTAAAAAATAATAGCTTGAGCTATTTAGGCGTACGCGCATAAGTACACTTGGGTGCAACTTAGGCTTTTCTTGATTCAGAATAAGGGTGGATTTAGTCTGTCCCAAAAATGTAGAGGAAATGGACCCCTTACCATTTCCAAACTCTAAGACTCTAAGGTTTTAAAATTTTAGAATTCTAAAACTCTAAGGTTCTAAAATATTAAAATTCTAAAACTCTAATATTCGAAAATATTAAGATTCTAAAATTGTAGAATTCTAAAACTCTAAGATTCGAAAATATTAAAATTTTAAGACTTTAAGATTCTAAAATGTTAAGATTCAAAAATTGTAGAATTCTAAACCTCTAAGGTTCGAAAATATAAAAATTCTAAGCTTCTAAATTCGAATAATACCCAACTCTGACACACGAATTCCACAGCTTCTTGTTTTATGTATATGTGTGTTGCACGTCGTCCAAGAACACTTTGTTGGCCGCAACGATCTTCTTACCAAGGAGAATCTTAGTTGTTCATCGTTGAAAGTAAATAATTTCATTGTACACGTACGGTGAGAAATACTTGAATCCTATCGTTGCAATGATTCGAAAAATATGAATTAACAGCGTACGGTTTTAATTTGAATTATAGAAAGTTTGTTTTAGCTGGAAGATTAAAAGAATGGAGAGGAAGGCGGAGGCTGATGCGAGATGAAAAAGCTGCTGACGCGTTGGAAACACAAATTAGTGTATCGTCGTGCACGACCGATCTCTCCACTCCCTGTCGCTGCTACTATAAACTCGTCGAGTGTCCGACAAACTTCCTAACATTCATCAAACTTTGAACGATATTGTCTTCGTGGTAACTGTTCGCCGCTCAATAGAATTACAGGCAGAGTAGTTGCGGCCGTTTATTGTCAGACCTCGGCCTACTGAAAGCGGCCAGAAACGCTTGACGGCCATTAACAGCTTGATAATTCGTGAAACTCGATCGTTGCAATGAAAGGATTACATAAATGGTGTTATTAAAAAAATTAATATCAATCATCAACTAAACTCTTTATTTCAAGGCTTGGGTAACCGACATGAATATTAGTCAAATTTATTAAAAATTAAGAAGAAAAAAAAGAAAGAAAAATATTTTAAAGCAGTCTGTGCTATAATAGATAATAAGAATTAAAAAAATAAGTTTGACTATGAAAATAATAGTTGGGTGAAAATTCACAGCATGTTGAATGGCGCAACGAAAGAGCTCAACAGAGTGAAATCAATATATTCGCACAACTTTGTACGGTGTTGTTTCCAAGGGTTCCCCAAAGGAGATTTCAAACGGTTTTCCGTGAGATAATCGCCCCTAAGATCCTCGCCGCACTTGCCATTAACTGGCTGGTTCCCAGAAATTAGGGCTTCTTTGGGGAACTCGAACAACCATGAATTCCAAGATCCTCTTTGCTCCTTACGATTCCATAAACTTTGCTTGGAACCAACTGCAAACCTACACAACTGGTATATAAATGTTTGTTGTAAAAGAACTGAAGATTTTGGTCGTTTCAAGGATAAAACATCTCCTTTCTGAACGAACCTGTCACTCTAATTAATATAATCAGTTTGTTTTCTGTTTTCTTAATGGGGTTACATTCTCCATGTCCTACATATCATCTTTCATATTTCATCCTATCTTATTACATTTTATTCTGTCTTACCCTCTCATCTTACATTCTTATAACATCTTATTTTACCCTATCCTATCTTCTCTCATCTTACATTCTTATAACATACCCTACATGCCGAGGTCCACACACACAAAACACCCATCCTCATTCCTGTGGTTATCCTCTTCAACACACACCCACTCCAACCCATCTCTTCGCTTACCTCAACTCCTCCTCTTATCCCAACCTCACCTACTGTCTATCTATGGAGCTATCATCTATTTCACAGAGAATGGCCTTACTTTAAACAGTGGAAGGTATACTACAACCTATACCAGGAGAATGAACAATCAACAGACAGAAAGGTGATGTCCTCACCTTATGGTTCTTTGGCCAAAATCTTCAGTTCTCCCACCCCCTTCATTTCAATGGACACATTCTACCAAACGATGAACAACAAAGTACCTTTCAGTCTGATTAACGAAAAAGAATAATTTATCGAATCAGTAGAGTTGGTCAACAAAGTAGTGGCGGATGAATCGAAAACGAACCGCTCGGTTGAATATTTTCCAGGTGGCAAGGATGGGTGTTAAGACCCCAGTGCTGTCGCCGCCACCGCCGAAAAATCCGAAGCATTGCTCGCCTCTCCCCCCCGGTTGTTATCGCAAGCGCGCTGTTCGTCGGGCCAAGAAGGAGTCGTCGGGACCGCGAGGAGGATCGTCGTGAACACGAACAGGAAGTACATGCTCGTGGAGGAGGATCGGGCCAAGACGAACGTCGTCGATGTTGTTGTTCGAGGAGTTGGTCCTGTCAAAATGGATATGCCGCGCGACGATGGAGGTGCTCGAGGACCGGTCTGGCTCCGTTCGGGCCGCGTTACAGCTCGCGTCTGAAGCGTGGAGTATTCGCCTCGCGGGAGGAGGTTCGCGCGCGACGCGCTCTCGTCTCTTTCGTCCTCTTCCTGCCGTCCGACGACGACGACGACGACGACTCGTGCGACTTCCTTCTGCCGCTCTCCGATCCGTGGATAGCGACCTAGAAGCTCGCTAGCCAGCGATAGCACGAGAGCGTGAAGAGGAAAATCTTATCGAGGATCGCGCGTTCGCGGCTTCCTTGCGCGTCGTCCCCGTGATTCGTGTTTCGAGGGTGGACGCACCGGAGGACGAAAGAGGTCGCGCGTCAGCCGCGAGAGAGGGTCGTCGAAATTCCCCCCACCCCCACCCACCGCGAACTCATCCTGGCGTGTTCTTGATCAGGAACGAGAGAGCTTGATGCTTACTCGCGCGCATTACCTTCTTCTTGGATCGAATGCATGAAAGAGAGAGAGAGATTGAGAGTGTGAACGTTGTTGAACAGGGAGAGAGAGAGAAAGCGCGATTAATAGAACACTTCCCCAAACGCGAGGCGAATAAGAGAGAGATGAGAATGAAAGGAGCGGTCTCCGCCAAAGAAACGAAACACGAAAAAACATAAAAACGAAGAAAACAAAAAAATAATAACCAGAGATGAATAAAATAAAATAAAAGGCAGCTGGCCTGTCGGTACGGCGGAGCTTCCGGTTTTAGGATTTACTAGGTTCTTAAGAGGTCCGCCCTGGGTGGTGCACGGGCATCCCCCCTGAATATGGGGGCGGGGTTACTTAAATCTTAAGTCGAGCTAAGCTTAGGATTAAGTCGTAAGTTATATCGGAGAATTTATTTAATATACGCATACATATATATATATTATAAATATATTATTAATTAATTAATATTATTATTACTATTATGATTATTAATTATTATGGTTATTACTTATTACTACTATTGAAATGCGAGTACAATGTTTCTCGCCGCGCGTACACGCACGAGTGGCCCGCGTGTCACGCGTCGCAACCGCGTTCCCACCGAACGCACGTCGAGCGCGTCGTTTTTGCGATCACGAACCAACTAAATTTCACCTGTTCTTCGCGATGAACCGTTCAAACGCGTATATCCTTCGCGAAGAACAATCTAGACATTTTTTTACACACGAAATCTTGTTCTGTATTCTTTGGAAGGCCCTTAGGTGCTTCTGATCCGGGGATCAGCTGATCCTGATCGCGAAGAACGATGATATTAAATTAACAAATTAGTCCATTGACCACGTTTCGCGGGGAGGAAGTTAATTGATTCTTCGGATCCAGGACCAGCTGATCGTCTACCATTGTCTCGTGGACCATGGTTTTGTAAGGAATACAGCGCATACTTTCTTCTATCTCGCGTTAAATAAATATTTAATATTGCAAAAAGAGGAAAAATTCCTTTTGAAGCAATCACAATTCATCCTGGAATTTTAATCTCGATCGTTTACAAATCACCCCTTTTTTCATGAATTTTAACTTCCACCCTGTTAATTAACGCGTTCGCTGCGGATTCGGGACAGAATAATTACCGTTATTTTACAATTACTATTGCTATTTTCTTACGATTTTCTTATTGCTATTTACGATTACTATCGATATCCGAATATTAATAATAATTGAGTACGACGCGGATTCGCATATCGCCATAACAACACCCCAATTCGGATGGCCAGCGAGCGCGTTAAGAAGCGTTTTAAACGAAACCTTCACTTACCTCCGAAAAGAAGGAGACGAATAGCGGAGAGAGAAAAATGACACGCTCGACGAGGCACAGGAATCTCGTGGAGGCTTTAGCGGGCCTCGATCACGCATGAACGAAGGATCTATAACGCATATTATACAATTATATCAATAAACCATGAGATGTGTGCTCCTTTTGGACGTGTGATGCGTAAACCCTTGCTCCAGCAGATGCTCGAAGGGAGAAACGCGAACCTCTCGAGAAGAGGCCAGAAGAGAAAACAGTAAAGTACAGAAGAACCTGAGGGTTGCCTCGACCACGAGATGATCTAACCCAAGATAATAGAAAGAAAAATAAAAAAAGAATGTCCATGCACGAATCCTTTGAAACGTGGACGATCCTCTGGCTCGAGAGAGACCAAAGGAAGAAACGAATCGAATAAAAGAAGTTGCATAACACGTCTAATAGCGTTGATCTTCTATGATTTTAATGTGTGTTCTTGCTACTATCCGACATAAGTATGGGCCACAGCCGCACGTTGCTTGCACCCGGCACCGGAAGTTGGCCCTTTGCTGTCCCTGGAACGGGAACCGAGTGAAACTGTAGACAGTGATCATCACGGAGGAGATCGAGTAGAACGATGGCTGATAATTCAGTCACCTGCTGGACGCATAAGTATCCTCTGTCCAACGTAAGAATAACCTCGTTTCGCGCATGCATTGGATGGCAGGAGGCGCAACGACGCCCGAAGCCTCCACATAACCGCATACGTTCTTCTCTTTTTTTCATACGCGGTGACGAATTAATTCCATATACATACATCGATATCGCCCCCAATTTGAGCGGTATCGTTATCAGTAGAAGACCGGTAAGGATAGAGTCGCGACTAATCGTATGCGCCAGATCGGTAGGTAATGGTGGAGGATGTGCAGATCGGTCGAAAACTGGTCGAAAATTGAAGATATTCTTACGTTGGACAGATTATAGATAAGGTGTCTTTCTAGATGGAATCAAAGCATATTAAAGTGATCTTAATCGACGTGCCATTATACGGACTGTTGCGTTCGCCAGCAGGTAATTAAGAAACACACGTGGACAAGTGACTTCCCAATGCCTTCTTCCGGATTCCACATGCGTGTTGAGTTCAGGTTGACGGGTATCTGTGCCAAACTCCATAATTCCTTTCCGATTCTTGTGGTCATTTTTCACCGTGATACTGTTGAAATATCAATGTTTACTATTCAATTTTTCTCGAGCTACTTAAGATAGATCGCTTCTAAACGATCTATGCTAGCGCCATCTTTGTTTCTCGATCTATGGGGACCGATTTGTCCCAAATCTTTCTATGTATCTTTCTTTAAATATCCCTGTTTCAAGTGACTCTTATTAATATTTGAACACCACGATATTGAGGTAATTAATGATCATTTATTTACTTAAAAAATAAACGGAGCAATTTTAAATGACACATCGCATGTAAATAAAAAAAATGAAAATTATTTCTTTTATAAAATACGTTTGGAAGAAAAATTTATGCAGTAATTTAATTATGGTGTTGATATATCAATAAGAGCTACTGTAAGTATCTTTATGGTTTTATTCTTCGAGATGTTCCCGCGCTTTTCGCCGCGTTCCCGCAGCGCCATGTTCTCCAACCGTGGCGAGTTCTTTAAACGATTAGCGTTCCAGCCTCGTCACGCCCTTTATCGTGTAATATTTCTAGTAATAAAGCGTTCCGCGATCGCGTCGCGGTCCTTTCTCGTCGTTTTCGCTGTTTTTTCTACCTCCTCTCTTTAGGGATCGATAAGAAGCGGGAGAAGAGCGCGTGGGAATCG